GCCCTATATACTGTATATATTTAAACATACATTTTAGTTTTCTAAGATAAGATCTTACCTGATGTGGTGATATACAGTGATCCTCGCCGACACAGCTGACTGCTTAACTAAGCTAACATTGTTTGTGTTGAGATATTTATTGTGAAGCTATCTGTCCATTATCAGGAAAGGGAAAATGAGCCCACTGTTCCCTTATTACAAATTCAAATTTGTATACAAATGTATTCAAAACAATTGCTCTCATTCAGTTCCTTTTTAGTGTATTTTTAGAAACTTTCCACACAGCATCATGATTAATTTCCTATAAGGTTTTTGTCAGTTTGAACCACATTGTCTGCTGCAGGGAATTGATCTGTAGGTTGTTGTTGATGTTGCATTTAAAATACAGAAATGCTGTTGACGTGTGGAGGATGGCTTTATTTGGTCAAACTAGGATATTCTATATCTCTAATCAGAGTCTGTCTATTATGGAGCCTTTTTCTTTTGTTGAAGGTGAAACTAAATATTCTGTGTTTCCCCATGCTGCCTTCCCGCAGTGCGATTTTATTCACGCTGAAAGGCAGTCTGGATCCCATGGCCCTAGCAGCAGACACGAAGCTACCTTTTGATGTAGCCTTATATTGTTCTAAGTAGTTTAGAACGCAAGTTTATTCAGAAAAAAGAGCAGCTTTTGGCGTTAAACTTCGCGAGACCCCAGTTATTATTGTTGTCTCGCCATTAATCGCCCTAATGGAGGACCAGTACAGGAGATGGTCAAGCTTGGAATATCTGCCGCTCAGCTGTGTCCCGAGAAAGATAATGCAATACAGAATTGTCGATACCAACTTCTGTTCGGCAGTCCCGAGGCCTGGATGAGCGCAAAGTGGCAAGACATGTTAGCCACGAAGTTGGATAGTAACCTGCCAAGCATCGTTGTCGACGAAGTCCGTTTAACTTATAAATGGTAAGTGGTATTTATTAATATCACATTGTCAATATGCTGTGGTTGTCACAGTGCCACTAAGTTGTGTTGCTTTTCAATATCAGTATACAATATCAATATACAGCTACTGCTTTAGTAGCATAACTTTCAGCTGTGCACACTTACCTGATTAAAGTTGTTGACACTTTAGTCATTAAATTAATTGTTTTTTTTTTTGTTTGTTTGTTTTGTTTTTAACTTGTGAAGTACAAGCGCAAACAATTTCCAATGTTTGCTGGCCGAAAACAACGCCGTAATCCCCATATGTCATCCAGACAAAAGCCAAACTGCCACCACCTTTAGCCCAAAACTCAGCCACAACTTGTACAGAAACTCCAGAAAACAGCAATATTATACCAGAGTCCCCGAAACTGAACCAGATATTATCCCTGTGTAATACTTATATATTGTGCAAGGAATAATAATAAAAATGGCACTACAGAAATGCAAAGTACAATATTTTATTGAGAGGGGAAGAAAATCTCAGCCAGATAAAAGGAAAAAATAAAAGACAAACCAATACTAGAGTAAGGCAAAACAAAGACACAGCAATAAATTAAAATGTCACAAAAAATAATGCAATTATGCAATTTAAAAAAAGAGTATGTGGCATGCTTAAATAATGAGATACAAAAAATTGTAGTTGAAAAGTTACTTATAATCAGAACGTCTAAAGTGACTATCAAAATAAAGTGTAATGCAAATTATATTTACAGATGTGCAAAAAAGGTAAAAATATTAGTTGCAACAATGTAAAACAGATTCCCAAATAGCTCAAATTGTGTGGTTTACATTTTGCAAAGGTGTCCTTTTTCTGCCAGCCTTCCAGTCACCAGTTAGATGAAACCAACTTTTAAAGGGATAGTTCATCCAAAACTAAATTCAGTCAGTAATTACTTACCCTCATGTTGTGCCAACCCTGTAAGACTTTTGTCTATCTTTTGGAACTCAGTTTAAAATATTTTTGATAAAATCTGAGAGCTGGATCACTCCTCCATAGACTTCTATTGTAACTGAAACTTGCCGGCCAAAAAAAGTTAGTAAAAGCAGTCCAACGGCCCTATTTTAACGATCTGAAACGCAAGTGTAAAAGCGCAAAGCGCAAGTAACTTTGTGGGCGGATCCCGGCGCTGTTGCTATTTTCCCGGCAGGACAAATGCCTCTTGCGCCTGGCGCAAATCTAAAAGGGGTTGGTTTGAAGTAGCTTCATTATTCATATGTGGTTTGGGTGTAACGGAAATAAACCAATCAGAGCGTCATATCACATTCCCTTTAAGAGCGTGATGAACGAGGTGCACTTGTTCCATGGCGCAATACTATTATAACGGCGCATTTACTAGACGCGCTTCAGCATCGGTTCGCAGCCGAGGAGATCGATGTTCTCGTCAGGGCCGTAAAAGAAAGAGAAGTGACATTGGGGATGGGACAAACACCCAAATTAGCTTTGGTTAAACATGTATATGATAATTTGGGTAAATGTGTATGCTTTATGCCTATTTTTCCCATCGTCATGGACACAACAATGATTTCCCTCATGTTTATATATTTTCCTTATAATAATGTATCATTTGCAAAAAGTAAAATGCATCTGTGTAGATGAGAGAATCATCTACAGTGTATGGACGTTGTTCACACTGTATTATGGCCAAGCATGCGCGCTTAAAATAGCATCTGAATGTACGCGCAACGCGCCACTGACTTTAGACCAGGTTTAACTCTGTGTTTCATTTACTTTATGCACAAGCCGTTCTTTTTGTAAAACTGCTCATCCGAAAATTAATAAACATTTCATTTTTCCCCCTCTTTTCCCTTTTTTTTTTTTTTTTTCTTTGCTGAAGTGAAAATGAAATTACCCAATGCTCTGCCTTACAGGAATAGTCCTGGTTTACTGGAAAAGACGTTGACTTCAGGGGAGAGGCTAGATTTGCCTCAATGGAAAATAAATTGATTTACTTATATGGGTATATTTGCTCATGTTCAAAAGCACAAACATACAGGTATGCTAAAGAAGTATAATGATTGTAAAAATGGTAAATGGACTGCATTTATATAGCGCCTTCATAGACCTAATGGCCACCAAAGCGCTTTACATTTGCCTCACATTCACCCATTCATACACTCATTCACACACCGACGGCAGTGTCAGCCATGCAAGGCGCCAGCCAGCTCGTCGGGAGCAGCTGGGGTTAGGTGTATTGCTCATGGACACCTCGACACTTGGTCAGGTGGAACCGAGGATTGAACCACCAACCTTTCGGTTCGTAGACAACCCACATGAACCACTGAGCCACTGCCGTAAAAGGATTAATACATTTGTTTTCAAGTTACTGGAATAAATATTAATCAATGGCTACATCCTTATAGAACAATACATATGGGAATATACTGCAAAATATAATGGGATATATTACATAATACATTTTCATATCTGTGAAACTAGTGCTTATATTTTTCAATATACTGCAATGCATTGGCGATGTATGCACTATGCACAAAAAACTATATGTTGGCTTTAATTAACTTTTTTTCTGTCTACAGGTTGCACATTACTGGGTTACATTAAACAAACATAATTTGTTCATATAACTTCAACACATTCAAATAAAATAATGTTGGCTTTAATTAACTTTTTTATGTCAACAGGTTATGATATGTTGGCTTTAATTTTTTTTTATTTCAACAGGCTACACATAACTGGGTTATGTTAAAGCAGTGTTAAAATTAATGAGATGATTAAGTGAATAATTGGGTGATGATTGAGCATTATTGAAGACACCTGATGTCTAAAACAAAATCTAAAGTTAATGATATGAGGGTTAAGAGACCAACTAAAACAAATACTGATCTCCATAATGGTGACTTTAACGGGCTGCAGAGTGTATTCAGCTGGAGATTTCTACAACTCCGCTGTAAAGCAAGGACAACAACTCTCTGGGCAGGGAGAGGAGACTAAGGAGACTGAATGACACATGAATTATAAAGGATATTATATTATTTTTAACATTATATTTAACACTCAATATTCACATGTGATAATAACTTCACATCTTGTGCACTGTTGTACTTGTGTATACATTTTATACTTGTTAAGATCCATTGTATATTTTTATTCATTTTTTATTTTTATTTATTTATCAGTATATGTCAGTTTATGTAATATGTATGGTTTGTATTCTGTGTTAAATCCTGCTGCAACACTGCAATTTCCCCTTGGGGATTAATAAAGTTTTTCTAATCTAATCTAAATTTCGGTTTTCTCCTTCAGTGATTCTGCTTGTTAACATCAGGTGTCTTCAATAATGAGACATATAAAATATACCCTCATTCACTATTCCCTACATCAGTCACTGATATAATCCAATTGAATGAGTGATTGACTAGAAGTGAGTGAATTGAGACACTGATGAACACCTGATAAGCAGAATCACTGAAGGACATAGAAACAAGAACTGAAAAAGAGAAACACAACTGACTTCCAGCAACATAGAGTGTGAAAACAATTTACAAACCAGTTGAACATTATTACTTTCACACATGTACAAAAGTTCTTGTTGAGATTTAACAGATGTTTAGATGTTAAATTGAAAATAATAAAGTTTGCAGTCACCATTATGTTGATATTATTTTTCTTAACTTAAGGGTTTTTTTACAGTATAGGACTGTGCAATTAACAGTAAATGTCTGTCAACAATGCAATACAGTAATTATTTCTGTATAAAAAGTGAATAATGAAAGTCCTATAATGAAATATTGCAGTCCTTCTTTAGGACTCATAGACTGTTATAGAGCACTTAAAGTGGACATGATTAATGACTTTAATTGCTATTTAGCACCATTTTTGTTTAGAATGCAGTAATGCCTCATATGATTTACAAATGTCTCAACCAATTGCAATGTTGTGAAATGCAGTAATGTATTTTGCTTGCTAAACACACCTGAAAAGGTAAGTGAAACCTTTTTTTATAAGTCTGTTGTCACAATACTGTTCAAACAGGATCCGACTGCACAAACCGGATAGTGCCATCCATGCCCTTAATGCAAACACAGCCTGTGGTAGAGGTCTATCCTCTTGTTATTTCTGCTCTATATGGATTACAACACTTTGACTAAAAGATCACTTGGGATATTAACGACACCAGTAAGGTATGTCAGCTGCTATATTATTATTTGCTAGAATAACACACTTGTTCTGGTTTTGTTTTCTTCTTCTTGTAGTTTGTGTCCTTCCGATGCACACATACAGTATAATTATAGACAAATAAATTTGTTTTTGCAGCTTTTTGAGATTATATTGCTAAAATACTGTATTTCCTAAATGCATGTAACAGTCAAACTTTTATTTTAGAAATGCATTGTTCTAGAATAACAGTTGCACACCAATGAAGTACGATCTTTTCTGGCAAATCACTGTCTAAATTTATTTAATTTAAAACTCTTGTTTTGTTTTTATTCTACAGATTATATCAGTCCAGTCCACTTTTCTATAAATCCACCTATTTAAGAAGAAAACTTTTAGTTTTAGGACATCATGAAAAAGAGGTATGTCTATCTTTTACAAGTCTTGATTTATGATTCGCACTAATAATTTGAGTGAAGTATTGTGACATGAAACTTTGCATTGTCACCATTGTTGAGATGCATGTGCTGATTGTTGATGTTGATCTGTGTCTTAGTCCAGGAGGAGATTGAAATGTTTTATTTCTCTATATCATTTCAATATCCTTCACAACAAATCTTTACAGAAACATTGTAGATTCAAAGATAAATTATTAATATTTTTCAATTATCTACAAACTCAAAACTTATACATAGAAAGACAACAGTGAATCAGCCAATAACAATAACCCTTTGCAAACACGAATGAAAAGCTACGGTGACTGATGTAGGATAAAATATGTCGTCTGAGACTGCAGAGAGTAGAGAGTAGTCAAGCAATGCTGGAGAAACAACAGCAGTATCAATAAATGAAGAGCTACATGACACAACAAATGAAAGCTTTATTTATAAAGCACTTTTAACACAATAAAATTGATCCAAAGTGCTGTACATAGTAAATAGCGTGACTACACTATAAAACATAAAATAAAAACAGTCGCATGATTGTAATACATTACTGTACTGTAATCCTTTACTGTTTCAATGTTTTACGGTCAATAATACTAATCAGCTGAACGTAACCAGCACATTCCTCCCTACATAGCAAACCCTTAACACAGCGAGGGAGAATAACCACGCGAAACTATCCAACTACATTTTTTTTCTAACGGGGTAGTAAAAGTTTAACTGGCTAATATGAGCTGTTGTGCTGTAGGCTAACATTACTGTTTTACGGTCAATAGTACTAATCAACTGATTGTCTCATGAACGTAACCAGTACAATTACCAATATGAATCTCAACAATGGTGGCAATCACACAAACGCTATATGTTGCAACGCATGATGGGCACCACCAATCAAAACGTATCCATGGCTCACATCATGCATACAGCATGAATAAATTGTGCAGCTGAATTGTCCTGTAATTTTCATAGATTTTTCCTGTTTGCTTTTATTTTGCTACTGTTTTGTTTGTTTTTCTGATGTTCAGAGTTGATCGGTTTTTCACTAGTTTGTTTATTGTCACCATTGTTGAGATACACATGCTGATTTTTGATGTCTGTGTGTCCAAACACAGTACTTTTGAGCAACTTCTATGCTCAAAGTATTTTCAAAAATGTTCATTTTGGTGTTGGATGTCGAACTGTAGAATATCAGTGCTTCAATCACCAATGCTAAAATTAGACATCAAACATATACTGTACATATACTATATATATTTAGACTCTAAACGAGATGAAATTGACTACATGATGATAATGTCACCACATTACATATTGTGAGTAGGTTTTCTCTTGCAGTATAAATGTGCTTTATAATCAAAATGACTGAATGGACAGAAAATTAAGGTCAAGAGTTCAACTAAAGCAAATGCTGACCACCATAATGGTGACTTGAAACAAAAAAATTCCATAAAACATTTCCGTCCAAAATGGCTCATTTCCACTGAGAGGTACGGCATGATACGGTACAGTACAGTACAGAACGGTTCGTTTCGTTTCGTGAGAGAAAGAGTAGTTTTGCAAAATTCACCTAAACAGTTTAAACCATTAAGACAACACTGAAAAACACAATACTAATGCTCTGAAAGCTTGATAAAGAAATATACTAGCAAGGGTTTATGGTTCTCTTTGTGTTGCTGAATAAGGCTGCGTTCGTTGAGCGGCCTTCCTGTGTGTCGGGCTTTGTGATAACTAAGTTCGCTCTGAACGAGTCAACTGAAGCCATTAGGGCAGAGTTTCCTGTGGGCTAGTTGGTGAGTTACCATGTGGAAGTTAAAGGTTAAAAGTTTTTTAACTGTGAGGTTGAAGGAGTCCCACATGACAGACTTCTGATTCTCTACATTATTCTCAACAAGAACATTTCTACATGAAAGAAATAATGTTACACTGGTTTGTAAAATGTTTTCACACTCAATGATGCTGGGAGTCCGTTAATTGTAGTTTTTGTGTTTTTGTTTTTTTTTCTGTTCTTGTTTTTCTGTCTTTCAGTGATTCTGCTTATCAGATGTTCATCATTGTCTTGATCTGAGTGGCTCTGAGTGTCTGTATATTACTGTTTATTAATGTTTTAATGGAAAATGGTATGATATTGTCAGAATTTGTTGTTTTTTACAGCAAGGGTTAACAGTGTAGACTTTATCACCACAAAACATTTTCATTTTTCTTTTTTTTTGAGTGTGTATAATGAATACATATCAAACTTCTCAAACTGTACTCTGGTGGTTTACTTTCAGAAATTGGTTTGCCATCGGGATTGCAGTGTTTTTACTGGCGCTCATTCTGACACTCTCTCTGCTACTCACTAAGAGATCCTTGAATTCCCAGCAGTTTACACCCTTGAATTGCTATGCTAAGTCAGCAGTGGCAGAGTATGCTGGGGAATGCTCTGATAATTGCTATGCTAAAGCAGCAGTGGCAGCGGATGCTGAGGTTTGCTCTGAGATCGGGAGGTACGATTACAAAGAGACAAATTTATGTTTCTGTGAGAGATTTTGCAGCACTATAGTCTGGATTAATAATATGGAGTTCGCTTAACTTTACACAGAGCTCTTTGTGTTTGCAGGGACATGTTGAAGCTTGGCGGTTCAGCAGTTGATGCTGCTATCGCTGCTCTGCTGTGTGTGGGTGTGGTGAATCCCCAAAGCATGGGTATTGGAGGAGGTGTGGTTTTCACCATATACAATGCATCAACAGGTATGTACAGAATATAGGATTTGAGAGACTTAAATCAGACTCCCACAACGGCTACAGTTCAAGAAATAAAAAAAAAACACACTTCGGTGTTCTTTATAAAGCACATCTTGAACTACTGATTTTTTTGTTTAACCATGTGCAGTATTTGAAGATTGTTTTAGACTGAGATGAAAAACAGTGCCCTAGCCCCTAAGTTAAACAAACTTTAAGATTATTAAGAGTTATCAAAGAAGTGGTTTCCTGCAACACCTCCTTGGAAATGTGCAATTTCTGTATTAACCACACCTTGACTAGGCATGAATATGTTTATATTAACTATTTTCTAGATCAACATCCTTACATTCTGGAACAACATTTCCTATAATCTATCACATTTTGGGGCTGGATATAAGAGTTTATGTTATGGTTATCCTTTGGGCTATTGGGGGCTTCTAGACCCCTGATTTTATTATTATTGCTAACACCCCTGCATATTGTATAATATTAAGAAACAGCAAAAATAAAGTACATCACTTGCTTTCTTAAAGCTGCACCCACAGCTTGCTAAAGGATCTCAAGTTAAATTCTTAAATTCGTCAGTGTCCTCTTTGGCTTAATCACTGCAACCTCTTGACCACTGGGCCACATCTTTGTGTTAAAATCAAAGTTTCATGTATTCACCTTCAGGAACGGTGGAAACTATTAATGCCAGAGAAACCGCTCCAATGGGGGCTTCACAGAACATGTTTGACAATGTCTCCGAGACAGGAAAAGGTAAACCACCATAAATCGACATATCTCCAAATCCAGCCTACATTTAAGGTTTTAAAGCAGATTTAGCATAAGCAAATTCATCCACACTTTAAAATATTAAAACAGCAAAGTTATTTTCGTCTGTTTGGCCATTGAATGAGTTGTCCATTGCTCTGTTTTATATGAACCTCATCCCAGGGTTATATATCGCTGTACCAGGAGAACTGCGTGGTTATCAGATGGCACACGATAGGTACGGGAAACTGCCATGGAGGAAACTGTTCGAGCCCAGTATAAAGCTGGCCTCTGAGGGTATTCAGATTGGCAAGGCCTTGGCTGTTGCCATCAATGAGACTTGTCAAACAATTCTGAATAATACTGCATTGTGGTAAGAATATATCAATTGTGCATTACAAAGCAAAATCCCCAGTGTAAAATCAACACTGCTCAGAGCTCACTCCACAGAGTGTTAAAGTAACACCGAAGCAGTGTTAAAGTTAATGAGATAATTAAGTGATTAGTTAAGTGATGATTGAGCATTAGTGATGAACACTGGCTGTTAACAAGCAGAATCACTGAAGGAAAGAGAAACACAAGAACTACAACTGACTCCTCAAAAGAGTCTGTTTGCAAACAGCAGAAGTCCACCTTATGTGACACACGCACAGTAAACCTGTATTGATCTGCGCATAATAGCAGAGAATTACTAAAAAACACAATATTGACCCATGTTCTGTTTTCTATTACATGTTTGCTATGATGTAATATGCACGCAAAGGGAGCAGGTTTCGATAGAATAGGGTAAATATACACTGGGGGAGGGGGGAGGGTATATCAGAGCTCGAGTTGAAGCTGCTTCATCGACCCCCTCTCCAGTGGACAGCAAGACAAATAAGTTTAACCTAATATATTAAAGGTTTTATGGGCAAACAAACTCGTTAATTAATGAAAACAAAGCTTTTTGAAAATGCTCTCCAAAGTGGATAAATTTGAAAACGCTGTTTTTACGTTGTAGTGTGGACAGTGAAAACTGATTTAAAAACGATGACGTTTAGTCATGTGATTCATGTTGTACCAATAGATATTCATGTTTACCGGTATAGTGCCTTTTATGTGCCATTCACTTCCACACATTTGCTAGTTTATGTATAATACTATAATATTAGCTATAGATTACGAAAAATCGTTTACAGAATTAGTTAAATAGTGACTATAGTGAATAGTAAAATAAGTTAACTAAAACATTACTGTTCTCATGTTTTGCCGCAGGGAAGCAAATGTGAGTAAATTCTGTCGTCTTTGCAGTAACTGTGATATGAAGAGTATGCAAATTAACATAATGGAACTCTAATCACTCTTATGGTGACTTCAAATGGAACACAGAGTTTAATTCTGAATAAAATCTTCTGTAGAAGTCTGACAGAAATAAAGTCAGTCTGGTTAGTAATAAGTGAAGCTGGTAATGCTGTTTGTGGAGTTGTTTAATCCTCCTCTGCTGAGATCTTCAGATTTAATGTCTTCATTTCTCTTCAGGTGATTTCATCTATAAGGCCCCATCAACACTTCTGCGTTTTCGTTTAAAAACGGAGAATTAAAACGTATACGATCTCCGTCCACACCAGCGTTTTATCTGCGTATTAGAATTGATCTCCGTCCACATTAAAACGACTGAAAACGTGGATCACGTGACCATTCACCAACACTGGGCATGCGCGTGCCGGTGTAAACAGTGGCTGACGAATCAGGGAAGGGTACGTCATGACTGATAACACCCAATCATAGAGCCGAGAGTCAGCCTCAGCGTTAGCGTTTCTGAAGTCCTCCATTTTAGGTCTTTGTTTTTTACATTTTAGTCTGGACGGGAGGTGCAAACATAGCAAAAGTCTCAGTTTATAAACGAAAACGCAGTAGTGTGGACGGGGCCTAAGACCGTGTCCAAAGTCAGTTGTAGTTGTTCTGCTCATCTTTTTTTCCATTCTCTTCTTTCCTTTAGTGATTCTGCTTGTTAACAGGCTTATTAAAGTTGAGATGACCTCATATTTAATATACACAGATTTTGTGGCTCAGATAAAGTCCAGTTCTGGTTTATTTCTTTGCTCTTGGCTGACATGTGGCATTGCTATGACCTGCTTGTGGCCCAGATCTGGCAAACAGGAGTGGGCCACCCAAGCGCCGTCAGTCATTGCTGCATGTGGGCCAGATCCGCATCCCACAAGTGCCAGATGTGGGCCGGATCTGGGCCGAAACAATGTTTCTATGTGGCTTGGCTTGGTTCTATATAGCTATATATTATTGTTATTTATTGAATTGTTAAAGCTGTTGTTGAGGATGTGTTAGAGTCAGGGCATAGTCTCACAAAATACATTTATTTTTATATAGATTTTATATGCATTTATAATAAATAAGTAACTATATACTGTAAAAGTAAAAGGTTTTTGTTAAAAAAAACAAAAAACAAAAAAACTAAAGTGACTATATACATTCATTTTATACCCAAAAGCAAGTTTGTGTGGACCACCCCTGTATCAGCTGTTAAGAAAACAAATGTACCTTTGAACTGTATCACTGCCTTAATTTTTGTCCAGGTTTAAATGTTATCTTTTTAAAATTAGTAGCTATTTTCTCAATGATTTGTAATAGATGATTGATAGCACTTAAGTTATTGGATTAAAGTTTACTTGTTCTTTTTAAGGCAATCGGTTTGCATGGTTGTAAACTGAATTGCTTTTGAAGTAAAGTAAACTCAGTAATTCCAAGTTGTATGCAGAAAACATCAGAGTAAACACAACTTGAATAATTGATTAGTTAGGACTACTCACAAAGTATATTTTACTTGAAAGTATTTAGTTGTTAAAATAGTCATTCTGAGTAGTCGATACTAAGACAAGTACATCTAAAGTAAAATATCAAGTATACTTTACAAATGTGTTTTAAGTTACTGAAACTCTCTTGTAAGTTTACAATACTAGACAGGCACTTGTTAGTACTACAGGGTAATCAGGTTTGCATGCTTTTTTTAAGTAAGGTTTACTAATTGGATTTTACAGTATACTGACACTGTGAGTATCACCATATGAGAATGGTGTGATGTCAGTGTGATCATCACATGATGTTGACTGAGTAGTTTGGACTGTGAGAAAACACAAATGTATCTGGATGAATGTAGATGTAGCCATAGTTCACCTTCATTCAGTTCACCTGTTGTTCGTTAATTAACTAATTAGTTCCCTTGTTTAGTTCTGGTATAAATACTCCCTGTTTTGTTCAGTGTTTGTCCTGTCTCGTCAGTATTTTTGCTTTCATTATTGGATTTAAGACTGTTTTCTGGTCTGCTCACTTGTTGTGTGCTTCCTTGCAACAGCCACCAGGTGACACTTTAAGGCAAATCTGACATATTATAATATCATATCTCTACTTACAGCATGATCCCTATATATATATATATATATATATATATATATATATTAGCTTCTGCTCATCTCTGTTTTCTTTCCAGGGAAACGTTTTGCGGCTTGAAGGAAAATGACACAAAGACAAATGAAACACTAAAACAATTCCCCAAGCTAAGTCACACCTATCAGAGGATCGCAAATGAAGGACCAGATATCTTTTACAATGGCTCACTGAATATATTGGATGATATCAAGGCTGCAGGTTTTTCATGCTTAAATTTGACTATTCACATCCAAGGGGTATCACAAATATGTCTGAATCTTTGTTTCTTGTAACACAGGAGGCAATATAACACTTAACGACCTAAAGAATTATGAGGTGAAGAATGAGTCAGCATTGAACTTTACTGTGGGGAATTACATATTTCATGCTCCTGATGCTCCATTCGGTGGACCTGTCCTCGCTCTGATATTCAACATACTCGAAGGTCAGTGGATGTGTGTCTATGACAGCGTTCGCACAGCACCAGAATAAGGTTGTCAGTCAATATTTAAGTCTTTAATACGGTTTCGCTCACACATAATTTAGTTATTTTCAAGACTCTTAAACAGATTGTCTGAAAACCAGAGCCTTGTGAACAAAACCAGACTGGACATAGAGAGAGCCATTCCGCCCTGCACAAACACATATCTACTGTGTGTTGTGGGTGATTATAGCCTATATGCTTTTTGCAATATAGATGTGGTTTCTATGGTTACTTGTAAGAGATTACAGGATTAACTGTTCAGTAACAGTAACTGTTCAGATCCGATTTGTGAGTCCACGAAGCCCTTCCCTTACGAAAAAGAAGTATATTTCAAGTTCATTTTATGTAGTATACTTCAGTAATGTTCAAGTATATTTTTAAGTATACATTATGTAGTAAGTATACTAATGTCACTATGTACTAGTAGTAAACTTGTAAGTGTACTATTTTAATACCGCTTGGGACTAAATTGGCCCACTTTTAGTACATAAAAGTATATGTTGAAGTGTACTATAAGTGTAACAGTAAGTGCACAACTAGTTCATAATAATGTATCTCATGTGTACTGCAAGTGAATTTATGGGTATACTAGTAGTTTACTTTTTTACTGTAATACTTATACAAGTATACTTTGAATACTTAATTATACTTTTAAGTATTTCTGGATCAAAAGATTGATTACACGAACAGGACAAATATACTTGCTTTTCTCTCAGTATAAGTCAAGTACACTTAAGTGTAATTTGAAGTATATTTCTGAGAATATAGTATACTTTTGAGAAGTACAGGAAAAATAAAATTTTTAGTTTAAAAGAAGTATACTAATGGCACACTTGAATAAACTTTTTTTTCGTAAGGGTTGTGCAATACGGCTCTGACATTGACATTGATGGAGGGGTTTGCATTTGCAATAGAGATATCGTCTTGTTTCAATTTTACAATATGGAACACATGCAACACTGTTGCCAGTGGTTTACTGTCAAATCTGTTTTTTTGGGTCACCATTGTGCTGAAGTGTAGAGCCTGTGCTTCAGTCCAGGAGAAGATCTACAGTGATGATATGCTGCATGTTGCTTTATCTGGTGGTGACTGTAGTTTCTGGTCCAGTGTTCCAGTTTTTATTTTAGCTCACATTATTAATGCATTAGAAAGTTTAGTTAATACATTTAAATGCAGTCCATTTCTGCAAGTGAAATTAGTTAAATCAAGTTATAATTTAGTGCATGGTATTTTTACAGTAACATACTGTAGATTACAGTAAACTGTACATTAACAGTAAATTACTGGCAACACTGTTACACATGCGAGGTCTCTCGCTTGCTTTCCCTCCCTTTGAAACCAAACTGAAATAAACATAACTATATATATATATATATAATTTTCATCGGTTCAGTTAAAAAGAATTAAGTATTTATTTGCAGGTTACAATATCTCAAGCAGCAATGTGACTTTGATGACAAACAAGACTTTGATGTTTCATCGTATGATAGAGGCGTTCCGCTTCGCTGATGCCCAAAAGAGTAAACTTGGAGATCCAGACGCATATGAAAACATCAATGAGGTGAGTTCCACTCAACTTATGCATTCTTATGGTTAAAAGAGATATAGTTAAAAAAAAATAATAATCATTTCTTGGCCTCCAAAGAGACAAGATGGGGACATTTTTCCCTTCATACCATAGTTCAGAGTGACCCTTTCAAACTCCAAACATCTCCGTTATCTCAGTTATGTTGAGAAAGAAACCATGTTTGCCATAATATTTGTTAATGTTAATAAAACAACAAAATACAGCTTTAACAAAGACTAAACTATATTTAATTTCTACAGCTAACAAATAGTGTTATTTAACATTTAGGCTTAATTATATAAGTTCTGTACCTGAATAGCCTTTTGTGTATTTCTTTTTATTTCATTACTGACGGTTCACTTGTTTTTAATGATGTTTGGACTTTATCAGTTAAGAGCATGTTCTCTCCACTGAAATCTTCTTGCAGCACATCTTCGTCTTAACAAACTCCTAATTACAACATCATATAGATGACGTTGAATCAAATGATGCTCATAGGTTTCTTCATATTGTGTTAGTAGCTGATAACATCAAATCAGTAAAATAATAAAAATTGTACTTCGAAAGATCTCCATAAATTGCCCGTTTTTGCACTTCATGCTTTTTTCCTGCTTGAGATTTTCTGTCCAATGAATGGGTGACATTAGCACACATGTGGTTTGGTTTGGTCCGGACCAAATCAAGTGTGAATACACCCTAAGTGAAGCAGCAATTCAGATTGTTTAGGTTTTTATTGTTATACAGATTTTCTTATTTAAACACGGTTGGATGACCAAATGTTTTCCAAATGTTGAATCCATACAATAGATGTGTGTGAGAAGCAGATTAAAAATAATGTTCCCTTCCACATATGAACTAAATTTGATGTAAGCTAGCATGACACACAAGATCTGAAAACACCAGTAAGTGACATCAAACTGATGTGATTGAATCATGTTGTGATTGTTGTGTTTTAGTTTTGGGTGACCTTTAAGCCACTACATTATTTCTGTACTATTGTCTTTAGTATCGTTTCCTCATCTGATCTAACAGGAGTGAGTTATGTTAAAGCAGACGTCATTTTATCAAAGCTTTTCCCTGTTCCGAAATTTATTTATTTTGTCAATTTTGTTTCACAGTTGGTCAGAAATATGACCTCAGTCAGCTTTGCGGAGGAAATCTGGAGAAAGATTAATGATAGCATCAAACAAACCAGCTATGGGGACATTAATATAGTGCCTGATGACCATGGCACCTCTCACCTGTCTATTATCGCAGAAGATGGGAGTGCAGTGGCCGTCACCAGCAGTATCAATGACTAGTAAGAGAAATATAAAGAGACAAAGAGATCAATGTTACTTAAGCCTAGTTCACACTACATGATTTTAAAACGTCGGGCTGAACTGTCCGGTTCACACTACATGACTTGCTCTCAGTGAAATCGGGAGTGTTCAAGTTGTTGAGCTGTTCACACCACACAACATAATGTGATTGATCCTCAACAGGAGGTAACTCACTACACGAGTTGACAACAACTCTGTCACGATTCTATCTTGTCTACAAACCACCGAAACAGCATGTGCGCCAATACCCAGCGAAAAATACGGACCTCAACCCATGCCTTGGTCTGATTGGCTGTAGCTCATGACATCACTGAGGTTGAGTCGCGTGACATCTCTGGATATCTAGCATGCTAGATATTTATCTGGGCTCTGTGATGCGTCCTTTGTGTTGTTGGCTCTTGCATTCTAACAGATTGGTGAGCGTTCATCGCCCGCTAATCCCCCGCGATTTGCACGCGATAACACCCTGACCTGTCGGCGAGCGGTAGTGTGAACTAGGCTTTACAAACACACCCAGATTCAGTTATTGAGTCACGATATTGGTTTCACGAGACCGAGACAATATTTTTGAACAATATTTTATAGAAATCCACAATGACGAAATTCATGACTGGAAAAAAACGGTCGGTCTGCAGGTGCATTTAAAATGTTTTCACTAATAATCTGTTAATGAATGTCATTTCAGTTCTACTTTATTAGAATGAATTACCAAACTCATTGAAAGACAAAATGCAAGCACTCTAAAAGGTTTTGACACATGCTCACCTGACTGGCTTTTCTCCTGAATGATTTCACAGTATCTATACTGCAAAAAAAAATTCTGGGGAACAATTTTTGAGATGTATTTTTTATTACTTGAAAACAACCCCGTTTTTATTATTTTCGGCCAATTTCGCTGGTACTTGTGACCAAGTGACAATAAAGTTCATTCAATCCCAACAGAATTATTCCATAGAATTTAGCGATTTAGCGATATGAAAATCAGCACCTCCAAATCCGAGGCCACGGTCCTCAGTTGGAAAAGGGTGGCTTGCACACTTCAGGTTGGTGGAGAGGTCCTTCCTCAAGTGGAGGAGATTAAGTATCTTGGGGTTTTGTTCACGAGTGAGGGAAGGATGGGACGGGAGGAGCTCAGAGTAGAGCCGCTGCTCCTCCACATCGAGAGGGGTCGGCTGAGGTGGATCGGGCATCTGATGCCTCCTGGACGCCTCCCTGGGGAGGTTTTCCGGGCATGTCCCACTGGGAGGAGACCCCGGGGAAGACCTAGAACATGCTGGAGAGACTATGCCCCTGCTGGCCTGGGAACGCCTCAGTGTCCCCCCGGAAGAGCTGGAGCGTGACCATAAAGTCCAGTTGTGGTTTATTTCTTTGCTCTTGGCTGACATGTGGCATTGCTATGGCCTGCTTGTGGCTCAGATCTGGCAAACAGGAGTGGGCCACCCAAGGGCCGTCATTCATTGCTGCATGTGGGCCAGATCCGCATCCCACAAGTGCCAGATGTGGGCCGGATCTGGGCCGAAACAATGTTGCTATGTGGCTTGGCTTGGTTCTATATAGCTATATATAATTGTGGGCGACCCAAGGGCCATCATTCCACGCTGCGTGTGGGCCAGATCAACTTTCCACAATGTTGCTCTTGGGGTGTTACTTAGCGGGGTAAGTAACACCCCAAGTCCAACGACGGAACACCCTACCAATATTGACTCTTGGGCAACTTTGAACATGTTGGAAATTATCGGAGCCTTCAAGGCCCAGAGGGAACAAATACATCATGCACCTTCATATTTTGAGATTACAAAATACCCCTCATTTAAGAATAGATCTACCCCCACCCCCGCCACACACACACACACACCTGATAGATTTTAAAAAATGTACTGTTGCTTTGCTGATATTTTTCATTCTTGTCTTGATCTTTTTTTGTGTTCTCATAGTTTTGGCTCTGAAGTGATGTCAAACTCTACAGGCATTATATTTAATAACCAAATGAAGGATTTCAGTACACCTAGAGATAAAAATGTTAACAAAAACAACTTAATCAAACCAGGTAAAGAAAATAGAGTTTAAATGAGTTGCAATGTTAAAGGGACACTCCACTTCACAGAATAGCACAACGGCGAGCGTGTGAAGTATAAACGCCTCGTCCGTTTGGAGAGGTGGACAGTCAGCGGAGACTCGCGCTCGTGCGGACGCGTTGTGCTACTCCAATGAAAATTCTGTCATTATTTTCTCACCCTCAAGTTGTTGGAAACATGTATGAGTTTCTTTCGGTTACACTTTATTTTGATAGTCCACTTTAGACATTCAACTAACTATAAGAAACTTTGCCGCTATACATGTCAACTAACTATCATTAGAGTATTAGTAGACTGTCAGCTTAATATCTGCTAACACTTTATTTTGTTGGTCCCCCAACAGATATTAAACTGACTATAAGTAACTTAGCAACTACAAGTAAACTTATTCTCCTAACCTGAACCCTAACACCTAACCCTAACCTAACAGTCTACTGACAGCCTACTACTCTAATGAGAGTTAGTTGACACATAGTTGAAAAGTTACTTATAATTAGTAGAACGTCTAAAGTGACTATCAAAATAAAGTGCAACCTTTCTTTCTTCTGCTGAACACAAAGCAAGATATTTTTAATAATAATTGGAATTTTGGCACCATTGACTTCCACAGTATTTTTCATTTTTGGGTGGAGTATCCCTTTAAGAACAAGTAAAAATACCTATATAAATACACAAGTTGATCTGTAAAATAATATTTGTTCTTGACAAGGTAAAAGGCCACTTTCATCAAAATGTCCCACAATCATTTTGGACAAACAAAGCGGTCAAGTGAAAATGGTGGTTGGAGGTGCAGGTGGGACCAATATCACCACTGCAGTTGCTCAGGTAACAAAACAACTCTGAGAAGAGCTGAACCAATTAAGCATTGAGTTACAATTTATTTCAATAGTCCATATTAGACATTCTACTTACTATAGTAACTTTTCAACAACATGTCAACTAACATTAGAGTATTAGACTGTCCGCTTAATATCTGCTAACACTTTATTTTGTTGGTCCCCCAACCCGAACACCAACACCTAACCATAACCTAACTGTCTATACTACTATAGTCTACTAATACTCTAATGAGACTTAGTTATAGTTAGTAGAATGTCTAACGTGGACTATTGGAATAAAGTGTTACCAAACATTGCTTAACTTTACATTACAACACATTACAGAAAGCAATAAAACATGAATACAATGACATTTGGTTATTCTGGATTACTATACTGATTTTGAAAAACATTTGCTTGTTCTGAATTGGCCAATGGCTGATATTATGTGTTTTAATCAACGCATTCTCACCCCAAGGCGTCACCTTTGACCATGCTTCAATATTTGACGTTTTAGGCGCCCTTTAGCGTCACTTACATGACGCGATCCTAGGGCGTCATCTAACTGACGCTAAAGGGCGCCTAAAACGTCAGATATTGAAGCATGTCCAAATGCTTCCCAAGATTGGGGGTGAGAATGGGCTGGTTTTAATAAATAAACAAGTAAACCGTTGGATGAAGACGGACAAATAAGTCGAGAAAGGTTGCGAGAAATCCAGTCTTTCTTTACTCAAAATAAATCCTGTGGGCTCTCTGCCCTCTCGCCACAATTAGGTTTGTGTGATTTGGTAACACTTTAAGATAAGGTTGATTAGTTAACATTATTTAACCAGTTAACATGATCTAAGAATGAACAACACTTTTTTTTAGCATTTATTAATCTTAGTTAATTTTAATTTCAGCATTAACTAATATTAAAATCAAAGGTTGTATTAGTTAGCATTAGTTATTCACCATGAACAAACAATGAACAGCTGTATTTTTTTATTAACTAACATTAACAAAGATTAAAAAATACTGTAACAAATGGATTGCTCATAGTTAGATGGAACACTAACTAATGTGTTTGTCTTTTATCTTTCCTATTTGCTCTGTCTCTCTCATCTCAGGTGATCCTAAACTATCTATTCCTTGATTATAACCTGACAAAAGCTGTTGCAGAACCCAGAGTCCAGATCCCGGAGAATGTGACAAACGTAGAAAAAGATTTTGACGAGGTAGAATTCTTATAACACTTATCAACAAAAGTTTGTCATCCAAATTAGATTCACAAAGTCAGAAAGTGAGAAATATTCAGATTTTCTCTCTGTGTTTATGAATTCAGGAGGTAAGGGAAGGCTTGGTGAATAAGAATCACGAGATAGGAAACAAAACTGAATTAACAGTGGTCCAGGCGGTTGTGCGAGAGGGGGACTCACTCTGTGCTGAATCTGACGAGAGGGGTGGCGGTCGTCCTGCCGGATATTGAGAACTGCTCCTGTGCTAATGCTGATGCTGTTAAATGTGTGTTTGACCCAGCTAAAGTCAAACCATTGTCCAGTGACAGATCCAGACTTGTTTGGTGGGGTGTTTTATGGGGTGCAAAAAGCTGTTCATAACATTGTTTAAGCCATCCTGCATGATATTCACAGTAGTATACATATCAAGATACACTCAAAAATACATATTTTCCCTGTTGTAAGCTTTACTAAAAAGAGGTTGATAGAGATAAATTGTCTTTAATGTCTTTTGAATGAGTTGTTTCAAATTAATAAAGTATGTCATCATAAGCCCTGATAAGAATCGTTCTGTAACTTTGGTGAGTTAGTGCAGAAATTGGATGCAAGTATGTCCTTTTGTCCACACCATATCTGGTCTTATTCACATCTTATTCGTTTCATCTTGTGACCCACAATCCTCTCTGATAGGCTCCTGTACACGTCCGTCAGTTTCCAGAAGCATGAAGAGTCTCTCAGTGAAGCTTCAGTCTCCGTCAGCAACGAGGAAATTCACTTTTATTTGATTACACCCCGGTCATTTACCACATCCTGCCAAATTAATATTATTATATGAAGAAACTCGAGATGGTTCTCACAGCAGAATATGAAATCCACGGGGAGGAGTCGGATCCAGATCCAACTCCTCCCAGCACACACACCTAGGCTGCGTTCGGAATCGCATACTCAATTACTTAATTAGTACTTACTCAACGAGCACTAAAAGAGTAGGTACTTTATAACCAAATCTCGTTGAGTATGAATGCGAACCGGGCATCTGCCATGTTGACGTTATAACCTACAACCCCAGACAGCAAACTGACATTGAATCAACGTGGAAACGACGTCTCTCATGACATTGAAACAACGTTGATTTGCTCATCGAATTAACGTTGAACCAACGTCAGACGCGGCATTCTTCAAAGCTAAATAAAAATCGAAAATTGGTTTGCTTTCATAACGTTGAAACAACGCATTGATTTCAAGTTGATTTTCCGTTAGTTTTGAAAGAATGACGTTGGTTCAACGTTAATTCGATGAGCAAAACAATGTCAGATCAACGTTGTTTCTATGTCATATTTCCACGTTGATTCAATGTCAGTTTGCTATCTGGGACGCGTTATCACAAGCGCAACACCTTAAAATATACAACGACACGTTTAATTCATCTATCTATAAATATCTTGATATTAATGAAACGTGCTCATTTTGTGGTAGTATTGTTGAAGAAACAGCTGCCCATTTATTTTGTGAAAACGTTGATATAAAGTGTTATATTTGCTACTGAGAAACTCTGCGGTTACTTTACGCCACAACACTGATGCCAATACATGTTTCACCTTAAAAGGTACTTCCACCGGTGGAGAATATGTATAGAAAGTGGGTCATATATGTAGTAGAATAGTATCACTCAAAAAAATGATGTGTTGGCTTTACTTAACTTTTTCACGTTAACAGGTTCCACCGGTTGCACATAACTTGGTTTCGTTAAACAAACATAATTTGTTCATGTAACTTCAACATAATGGAAGTCATTTTAAGCCATCCAATCAAACTCTGAGAAGAGTGTTGAATGAACACTGAAGCAGTGTTAAAGTTAATGAGATAATTTAGTGAATAATTGAGTGATGATTGAGCATTATTGAAGACACCTGATGATAACAAGCAGAATCACTGAAGGAGAAAACCGGGGGTTCTTGACCCCCACATTTTCAACAATGAATTGGCAACGGATGACGGCATAAATAACATCAGGGAGACAGTAAAAGCAAATTCATTGACGTCTTTCAAACATCAGCTTTCAATTTCTGATGCACACATTGATATTGTATAGTGTTGATCTCTTAGTGTTTAATGTTGTGAAGGGTTTCTGTTGAGTTTTGTGTGTCACCATTGTGTTGAAGAGAGCCTGAGATTCAGTCCAGGGTGAGCAGTGAAACTCACATATGTATTATTTGAAGATATTGATTGATTGATATTGTTGATGCATTTGTTACAGTCTTCAAATCATTTGCGTAATGTTGTCATCTAGCAGAATTGAATTGAATCCATTGCCACTTACATGAGGAGAGCAATAGAAACGAATAAACTAACTAGGGAAACTATATATATATATATATTAGAGCCAGGACTTTAATGTGTTAATTAAGATTAATTATTACAGACTTTAACGCATTAATTAATTCCACAAAATAATTAACGCATACATAGACGGGCGACGAAACGGAAATAAAAAAAAACGTCCCGTGTCTTTGAATTAAACTATAAATTTCTCCGGATTTGAAAGTTGGTGGAAACTGTCGGGATAATGTAAGTACACATCTAATAGAAATATATAACATAGATACAGTTATTTTTAAAGCAGAAAAAATACATATTGTGGCTTTAATTAACGCATGTTAATCACACATGTTTTTCCACTGCGGAACATTTCTCACTGGATTAGTTTCAGCGGACCGATTATACTGGAGCACCAACTAGCGTTCATGACTTTTTTTACAGTCTATGCTTCATACAACTAAACAACAAACCACAGTGAACATGAACGAAGAAGCTGGCGAGACCGTTTTGGTTGGTCCCGTGGATGGGAAATTTTGTTATAAAAACGAACCGATGGAAGCGTCATTAAGAGCATGTTTGTGTGCAAGCTATGCAACAAGGAATTCGCATATCACATCGACCCTTAAGTTTCACCTCAACGCAAAACATATACAATTGCACTGATCTGCTGGACTTGGTTGAACAAAAATAGACACTATTTTGTTGCTTAAGCTTATGTATTCAGTCATTATTCAATGGTATACTAAAAATCCATGTGAAAAAAAAAATCGTCTCACTGTTCTCAGTTCAAATATTTATGCAATTAAAATGCGATTAATTTCGATTAATTAATTACAAAGCCTCCAATTAATTAGATTAATTTATTTTAAGTCCCGGTATTTTAAGTATCGAGTCCCGGCCCTAATATATATATATATATATATATACGTATACACAGTTGCCCTAGTTAGTTTATTTGTTTCTGACCTTTAGGTGAGGGTATTTGTTACCCCTTTTCACCATCAGAACTGCCTTAATTCTATGTGGTATTGATTCAACAAGGTGCTGAAAGCATTCTTTAGAAATGTTGGCCCATATTGATAGGATAGCATCTTGGAGTTGATGGAGATTTGTGGGATCGAAGCTCCTGTTCCACCACATCCCAAAGATGCTCTATTGGGTTGAGATCTGGTGACTGTGGCGGCCATTTTAGGACAGTCAACTCATTGTAATGAACTGTAAAAAATGATTATGACTGAATATGTTAAATCTAATCAATAAAATTGAGGCAACAGATTACAATCAATATTATTAATTAAATTTAACAAATTAGAATTGAGTAATAATTAACAAAATTAATTACTTTAAAGTTAACCATTTAAAATAAATTTAAATTAAAAAAAAAAATACTGTAAGTGTGGGGCTATTTTGAGCCTTGTTAGTGGTATTAACTAGCGATTTTTATTTTCCATTACTCTTTGCCCTATATACTAGCGTTATACGCTAAACCATTTTTAGAGATAAAACAACCCGATCTCATGAGAATCCGTACGAATTTTACGAGGTGGCTAATACGTAACAATTCGTACGACCTCACTCGTACGAATTACGAATTAGTACGTTTTTGCTAAATCGTACATATTTTACGAATTGGCCAATTCGTGTGAATTCGTACTAATGACCTGCCCCTGACCCCGCCCCTAAACCTACCCATCACGTGGGTTTGGACAAATCATACAAATTCGTACGAGTGAGGTCGTATGAATTAGTACGAATTAGCCACTTTTTAATCACTCGTATGAATTCGTACGAATTGGTCGTGAGATAGCATAGGATGAAACTCTTTACATTCGATTATAGTGATAACAAATCTCAGAGAACGTGTACCAATGTGTTACTACCAAAGTTTCGTTTTGCGCCGGAGTTGTTCAGTTTTTATGTAAATGGTATTTTTACAAAAAAATGAATAGTGTGTTGTGTATATTCTGCAGTTGTACAATATATATTTATTTTGATTGTTTCTAGTTTATCTTTTTTAACATTCTGACAGATAATTGACAGATAATTTTTACAGACACCAGCTCATCTTTATGTGGTCTTCTCTCTGTTTCACACTGTAATGTCTAATACACAGCCAATGAAAGGCGTTGAGATGATATTCAAAGGGGCAAAGTTCAGTTTATACTCTTCCAGTTTATCAGATTATACAGTCGGACAAAAACAGATTCTGCATGACTTAAAAACTGCATGAGACATAATGGACTCAGAACATGAAGGTCAGTGTAAATGAATTAACCTAATTTGATACTCACAGCTAGTTTAAATCAATACTCAGAACTGAATTAAATGCTGGGATTTATGTTTGTGGTGTTGACAAAAATGAAATGCAAAACAGGTTGTAAAAACAGAATGAAATCTTATAGGATAAGATGGTCATATTACAAAGCTTCTGATTTACAGCTCATTTAGATTCAACTGAATCATTATCGTATGTAAAATTCGATTTTGTGGTTTTAAAAATGAGACGTGACAGAGAGCACATTTGCAGACTGACAGTTTTCAGTTTCTTATGTCATGATCTGAGACGGGAGTTTCATACACTGTCGCTGCTCCTATATTTTAGTCTAAACTCTGAATATAACTTACTGTCTGTGATTTTCAAGTAATAATACAAACTGGTTCAGGTATTTTGGTCCTTACATTTATAAGACATTGGACCAGGAAAGTCTAAGAATTGCTTTACTGCATGCGTGTCATTCAAACTATCTGTTTTAGGCTATAAAAGTTTACGGTTTACTGACAGCTGGCTATCATTATGTCATTGGGTCCAAGGTTAATAAACAGCTCGATCAGAGCAGATACTTTTGCGATATAAATCTAATGTGCCAATTAATATTTCACAATGAAGGATTAGAGATTTGTTTGTTGAAGCTGAGAAACACAGGATTGCATCAGTATCTGGTTCAACAGGAGTGAAATGTTTTAATAGGCCTATAATATAATAATTTAAGAGGTCAACACATCCAAAACGGCTTTTTATATTTTTAAAATAACTAACCAACCAGTGTCCGGATTCACAAAACATTCTTAAATTCCCCTAGTAGTAATTATTATATCTCTTAAAACTCATCTTTGATAACTAAAATATCTTATTGAAAAGTTTTTTCCTGTGATTTTTTTTTAATCATGCCTTAAAACAGCCTGAATGCAACTCTACACACTTGCATCATTTAGTATACACTGATTAATGAATATGTAAACTAGCCCCGCCTCCACTTACTCATACCAGAGGGTTGTTCCATAAAACAAGATTAGAAAATAAGCCAGGCTTATTTTGGTTAGTCAAACTTATTGTCGGTGAATTCTGTTTCATAAATCAAACTTAAAATAGTTCAAACTCAGTTACGCTGGAAACTTATGCTGGGAAACTAGCCTGGTCCGGGGCAGGCTAACTGTCAGGCTAAGTCTGAGTTCAGGCTTAACGAGCATACAATTTATACTCACCTGCTGGTATTTCGATGTCATTTTATTTTACTTAACCACTATTAATGCATCTTTTTTTTTTAAATAATTTTTTTACAGTGTGTTCCATCATCCAGTGATTCAGAATTTAAGTCTGAATGAGCATGAGCACATTATGGTAGAATTAGATCCAAATCGTGTCACTGATTTTGATGTTCGCTATACATAAATACATAAATTGTCAAACGACCCAAACAGGGAACATGATCACCATAATGGTGACCAACTGTTTTAAATAAAACTTCAACATCTAAAAATGTCTTAATTCTCAAAAAGAAACATCTGTAGATGAATGACAGAAATAAGGTCCAACTGGTTTTAGAGTGTCTTTTCAGGTCTGGAAGTCAGTCGTGTGTTTCTCTTTTCTTCTTTTCTGCTTGTTAATTATCATCAGGTGTCATCAATAATAAAACAATCAAAATTAAATCAATATCTCAAGCTAATGACATGAACTGTTTAACAGGTTTTTCACATGATCTGAGGATTGTGTTACTGGGAGTTTCTGGAGCTGGAAAGAGTTCAACTGGAAATGCAATACTGGGTCGAGAGGCATTCAAAGAGAGCAGAACCAGAGGGAGTGAGAAACAGAGCGGAAGAGTAGAAAACAGAAACATCTCCATCATCGACACTCCAGGATTCTTCAACCCTCAACTGACTGATGAAGAGATAAGGAAGCAGATGATGAAGAGTCTGTATCTCTCTGATCCTGGTCCTCACGTCTTCCTGCTCGTCGTAAACCTGGAGAACTTTAAAAACGTTGAGAGTAACATTGTGGAGCAAATTCAGGAGATCTTTGGAGCTCAGGCTTTTAAGTTCACAATGGTGCTGTTTATTGGAAAAGAAAAAATGTCAAAGATAGAATGGATGCACTTTAGACTTCATCCAGAATTTCAAGAGCTGGTCAGGCCCTGCAGAGATCATTATCATGGGATCAACAGTAAAAATGAGATGAATCAAACTCACATCAGGGAGCTTTTGGAGAAGATTGATGAGTTCGTCAAACAGAACAATCACCAGCATTATGATAGTGGGATTTTCTCTGTGTCTCGAACAAAGAGCATAAGAATAAGGAAAAAACAAGAGGAAATACAGGCATCCCAAAGAACAGAGCAAGAAATTAAACAAAAGCAAGCTGAAACAGCATGGGAGACTTTCACAACCCAAAGCGTCATAGAAAAGAGAAGACGTGCTGTGATAGAACAAGTAAAGGAAATCACTGGAGAAAATAAATTAGAAGAAAAAGAGACGAGACAAGAACGAGCAAAAACAAAGTCAGTGACTTTTGGAATGGGAAATGTGACAGAAGAAAAAACAATACACACTGTGACTGATGAAGAAACTGAGAGTTGTGTTTCTAATATCAGACAAAGAATGAAAACAACTATCATTTATGAAAACCTGGATAATTCATCATTGGACAGATTCGTGGAATTCTCTAATGAAAAAATGGTAGACAAAAATGTAGGCAAGACATCAGAAAAAATATGGGAAATGAGCCATAAAAAGAAGACATACAAGATCATATCAAAAGGTAAGGACTTTCCACAGCACATAAACCAGACATCAATAGTGAATTCAAAAAACCCAGAAAAATGAATGCTAAAATCAACGGCCAAGAGCCCAACTAAAGCGAATACTGATCTCCATGATGAGGGCAGAGGTGGAAAGAGGAATACAATATTGTACTCAAGAAACTTGAATACATTTTTACTTAAGTAAAGTAAAAGTACCAGCCTAAAAATCTACTGAAATAAAAGTTAAACGTTACTGGGTTTGGGTTTGAAATGGTATGAGATTTTCACAGTATGTCAACCGTCTCAGAAAACATCATGGTTTACATCTTAAACAATTATTACATAAATAAATTGTGTTACTAAATTAATATTATCATCTGTTGGTCAAAACCAGCTTGATTTTGGTGGAATATTAATAATATGACAGTAAGTGTTTGACCATATAAAGTCACAATATCAACGTTGAAAGCACAGTGTTTAATTATTTAAAATATTCAGTGTTTTTTTTCCTGAAAAGTAGCGGTTTTGGACATTCAAGGTTTCTTCCAGACAGCGATGATAAAGCTACTGGTTGAACGGGTATTGAGGATTTATAGCTGCATGTACACAGAGTACACTCTTTGAATCTAATAATTGTGTTATTTCATTAATATTATTTTCACATCACAAACCCTGTGCTACTGCAGCATGAGATCCAGCAGTACTATAATAATAAGTTAGAAGATTTTAACAAACATGATCATGGAAACAAACATCAACAATCAGCTCATGAATCTCAACAATGGTGACAATCAAAAAATGACATTATCAAATGTCATGACGCTTGATGAGCGTTCCAAATATGGATAGGGGCGTGACATTTTTGTCACACGCTTACGGTTTTTGGTCCAATCACAATGTTCTGGATCGCTGGATCACTTAATTATCTCATTAACTTCAACACTGTGTCAGTGTTATTTTAACACTCTGTAGAGTGAACACATATACACTGGGGATTATGCTGAGAGTAAATCTTTATTTAGTACATGTTTACACCTATGCTTATATATTTTTTAATCTTGTCAGAGCTCAGGATCGTGATGGTTGGTAAAACTGGAGCTGGAAAGAGCGCAACGGGAAACACCATCCTGGGACAAAATGAGAATGAGACGGGACACATTCAAATGAAACGAGAGGAAACTGCGCTGTTTGTTGTAAAAAATTCTTCTGAATCTGTGACTAAGGAATGCCAAAAACAGCAGAAGATAATAGATGGTCGAAACATCTCAGTGATCGACACTCCAGGACTGTGTGATACTTCCCTCAGTGAAGAACAACTGAAAGAGGAGATAGTGAAGTGTGTCTACATGTCTGTTCCTGGTCCACATGCGTTTCTGCTGGTCATCAGACTGGACGACAGATTCACAAAAGAACAGCGGGACACAGTCAAATGGATTCAGAAGAACTTTGGAGAAGAAGCTGCTCGTTACACCATCGTTCTGTTCACTAGAGGAGATCAGTTAGAAACACCTATAGAGGAGTTTCTGACTAAAAACAAGCAGATTAATGAGCTAGTTAAACAGTGTAATGGCAGTTATCATGTGTTCAATAACAAAGATAAAAGTCGATCACAGGTCATTGAACTGTTAAATAAGATAGAAAGCATGGTGGGTAAGAATGGTGGAGGGCATTACACAAATGAGATGTACAAGGAAGCCCAGAAAAAGATAATGCTAAAGAAGGCTCAAGACGCAGCTTTAGTGGGAGCGAGTGTAGCAGGAGTAGGAGCAGCAGTAGCTGGAGGTGCAGTACTGGTCACGGCCACTGGGGGAGCGGCTCTGCCTGTAGCATTACTAGCAGCAGGAGCCGCTCTAACAGGAGGAACAGGTGCTGTTAAAGCCATTGCAGATCAGGTTAAACAATTCAAGGGGAAGGTAACGAGGGGAAGTTCCAATTGGTATGCTGAATAATTCTCAATTTAATTATCACAGTTTCTTTTTCCTTTATAGGCTTATGTATTTCTTTGTATTTTAATGTTTTTCTGCTTCAAGGGATTACCTACAGATTTATATGATTATTATTATTGTTGTTTTCATCATAAAATGTGATTTGTATATACAAATATATTTATCTTTGTCATGTAAACTTACCCTTAAAGGGTTAACCCCTTAACTGTCACCGTCCCGGTACCGGGACGCCTAACTTTACTTCACTATATTTCTATTAAATCCTAATCTAATTATGACAAATTATATATTTTTGGAAAGGTCTAAGACTTCTAATTAAATATTCGACCCCTGTTTTGTGTTAAAAATTATGTAGGAAGAGTAATTAATGAATTTATGACAAGAGTGCACCTAAAAAAATCTGCATCATAACAGGAGGTCTGACCTTTGTCACAAAAAGTTGATGCACCCACTTTTAATCATTGAAACTTCTGTTTTTATGCTAAAAGTTCATAATAAAACATATAATCTAGTATTTTTCAATAAAAAATAAAAAGTATAGTATAACATTATCCTCTAAAAATTATAATATATATGTATATATTATCCTCTAAAATATAATAATATTTTTTATCGCCTTTTTTATTATATCACATATTTTAGTAGTTATCATAAATTAGGTATCATTTGAAAGCTTATAAACTCAGAATTCATCTTGTGAAAACTGTTTTATAATTGAACGTTGCGTTACCATAGAAACGGTACTTATTTTATGAGGCTCCTCCCCTTTTGGGCATCCTTATATTTCATAATTTATGATCAAAACCTTTTCTAATCTTGACAAAACACATATTGTCAGAAAGGTCTGAGTCTCAGGGTTCCAAATTTTGTGACAAAATTGGTATTTGGACAGAAATGTATTAATTTGTTAAGGCAGAATGTATACAACTACATTCAATGGAATTCAATGGCACCCGGTGGCTATTTTTGGTACTACGCCTAAACAAAATCTCATGGGAACTTCAATTTTTGTGATATCAACTTCAAATTTGGAACATAACTTGGTTAGATTTATGGCTTTGATTTTATAGTAATTTTATAGTAAAAATATTTTGTAAAATATATATTTTATATAAAATGAAAAATATATAGTACAGTATATTTGATTTACTGTGAATTAAAACTTCCATAACGTTTTCATACTTTCATTTTTTGAAGTGTTTTCACTTTAGCAATAATCTGCTGAGTGTTTTCTTTAAAACAAGACCAAACTTGGGTATATATTTCAAGGCATTCTTGAATTACAACCGTTTAAGTGTGAATAGAGCATTTAACCCCCATTCTCAAAAAGGGGGGGGGGGGGGGGGTGAACAACTGGAATGATGCACCATGCTCTATGGGGAAGAAATGTATTTGTGAGAAATAAGTTTCACCCAGTCTTGTTGTGCTTTTGCTTCTATTATTTTAGTGAATCATTCTTATAATCAATGTATTTCTGATTGTGGTTTCGGTCTTTTAAAAAAACTGCCATCTGATCTTTATATAAATTTGTTAGAAGGAAAATTGCTGTAATAAACTCAAACATCCGGAAAAAAGGCTGTTCTTGTAACATATGAAATATGATTGTCGGAAAAAAAGTTGTGGTGTAGTATAACACCCAGGTCTTTTACTTTAGAGGATAAAGTGACAAGACATCCTTCTATATTAAAGTTATTTTGTGAGGGTTTTGTGGGTAGTTTTTTTGGACCAATAAGTAATACTTACGTTTTATCTGAATTTAATAGCAGTAAATTACGTGTCATCCAGCGTTTTATATCTTTGAGACACTGTCAATTTAGATGAGTTAGTGTTTTCATCTGGTCGTGATGAAATATATAATTGAGTGTTGTCAGCATAACAGTAGAAATTAATTCCATGTTTTCTTATAATATTACCAATTGGCATCTATTGAGAATAGCAGAGGGCCTAACACCTACCCTTGTGGTATTTCATTGGTGATTACAGTTGTTACCCCTCTCAAAGCTGTCCAGCAGAGGGCGACAGACATGCTGTGAAAAAACAACAGCTAAACTTCATGATTGTCACGTGGTGTTTCAGGCAGGAAGACGAAGACAGATCCAGTTCAGAAAACTCAAAGTATAATCACAAAACTCCAGACAGGCAATGGCAATGAAGGAACAGGTACAACGAGCTGCACAAACGAGATAGAGAAGGGTACACCGCTGATCTAGATGAACTAATAATGACCGTCACCATATTATAGCGCGAGGAAAACAGGAACTGAAGAAATGCAGAATAAAAGTCCAGCCACCAAACACAACGTAATGTTGACAATGATGAAGATGAACAGAAAAATACACATTATATAAAAAAATATTTAAACTTGAAAAAAAAAAAAAGATGTTTCTTTAGAGTTTTGTCTCAGTGATGTTGTTCTTTTAAGGGGAAGGAGAGACAGAGACATGTCTGTGTGTTAAAAAGAAAACGGTGTTAACCACACAAAGTCCTCAGGATAAAAATATTGCAGTCAAGCCGTCATTTGGTTGCTGTTGATACAACACAGCAAGACAAACACTCTTACTAAATAAAAACTAATGAAACAGGAAGTTAGGCAGATATATTTATTTAGTCTTTTTTAATAACTTATACAATAATAAAGATTTGCCATTTGTTGCATTATGTGACAGAGCAGCATGTTGTTGATGATTTGAATCACTGATCTAAAAAAATTAAGTTTTTCTCCTTCAGTGATTCTGCTTGTTATCATCAGGTGTCTTCAATAATGCTCAATCATCACTCAATTATTCACTAAAAACCAACTACATTGATTATTTGCTCTGATTGTTTGCTCACGTTTGATCTTAGGGGATTTTGTGAGATTTTCTGTCTGACTTGGGAATGCTCGGGAGTCAAATTGATTTGTGTGTGATGTGTTGATTTTGCCGTGTGGCTGCGCACCACACATTGTAGCTGGGTCAATGACGTGACGCTTGCTTTTTCTGTCCGACTGAACTTTTTACCAATTAATAAACATTAAAATTAATAAAATTATAACATGTATGTCTACCACCTCCCTTATACATATGCCCACTCTTATTTCTTTAAAATTAATTGGTTTATTGGCATTTTCTTCCACCTGAAGTATGAAAACATCATGTGGGGCGACCGTCCGGCCTTGACTTCTGTTTGGATAACTGGTTTTAAATCAAACTAAAACAATTTAAATATAATCCTTACCCTATTTGGCATAATTTTAAACTTGTTTTCCATTGATTGACAAAGTTATGAAACATTTGTACACACATTTCAATCATAATAAACAAACAAATCTTGTCCGAAGATGTTCATTGTCTGAAATATCATCTGGGGCGACCATCAAAAAAATACAAATAAGGAACTTATATTCTGATAATCATCTCAAAGAGGATGTTGCATCAGCCAGCCTCATGGTGAGGGTCCCACAGAGACAACTAGCAGGTGAGTAGTCACTCTCATTTTTACAAACAAATCCTCTTTAAAACTGCTGCAGTGTATACGTCACATTTTGATATCATGTGGGGCGACCAACCTAAAACTGTAAGTTTTATACGCAAATCTTTATTTTTAAATTTGTAAATTGTAAATTTGTCAGTGATATGTGGTGAGAAGAAGCTAGCTTGGGTTCTATAGCTAAGCATTAGCCTGTTATACTTGATTAAACTTGAAAACATCATCTGGGGCGACCGAGCATCATGTGGGGCGACCGCCACTGATTGCTTAAATGATAGAAAACACATACAGTATTATTAGTTTCTGTATGCAAATGTTTTCATTCAATATGCATTTAGTTGTTTTAAATAACTTTCTTCATTTCACCACATATTTTTTCTAAATTTCAATAATTTCCATCCTACTTCAGAGAGGACTAAGCTTACTTCTTTTTGATTATTATGTGTTTTTTATCAAAGAAATGTGTGAATATTAAGCATTCGTTCTACTTTTTCCAATTCTTTTTCTAACTCTGTGTTTGTTTAAATATAATTTTTTCTCTAGATGGCCACACTAACGATGGCAAATAAAAGACTGCTCGCTACAGGCAGTGAAAAATGCTGTTCAATGTGTCTGCAAAATGCTGCTATGTTCAACTGTTAAATGAAAATAGTAATGAAAATGCAAACATTGTATGTTTAAGTGATTAATGAAATGAAAATGAAAAAGGAAAATGCTGTTTAATGTTATGTCCAAGCGTTTAATGCATTAGTATTGAAAATTTTCATATGATAGTTTTGTGTCAAATGAAATAGTGAGGAAACTGTTAATGTTATGAAATGTGTCAAATGAAATGGATATGCTGATTCTTCATAAAATTTAAATAAATATGCTGATTCTTCATCAAAATTTCATTAAATGTGTTTTAAATATCAAAATCATTGAATAGTCTTAATTGCCTAATTGTTTTTCATCATGTGGGGTGACCATTTGTCATGTGGGGTAACCAACTATATTCAATTCTGCAGTAAATTCAAAAAATAATGTCTGTCGATTTTGGTTGAAATATAATTCATTGGTATAACATCAATAAGTGGGTACTATATCTACACATTTAAAATCAGTTTTATGGATTATATGAGTAAAAAAAAAATATGTAATTGCTGTATGAGGGTGACACTGCCATTATAGATAAAAATGTATTTAACATCATTTGCAATAAATGGAAAGACACGAGTATATCTTTCTTAAACAGTTCAATTAATTACTGATACCTCTTAAAATATAACTTATGTAAAGGAAACCTATTAATTATAAGAAAAATTACGGTCGCCCCAAATGACTTTTTTAAGGTTAATTGCCCTATTCATTTGAGTTTAAAAGCACTAAAATATCTTTGTTTGAAGTTTTCACACACATGCATGTGTAGACTACACTCCACATGTTTAGAAAATAGACAAATATATTATTATTTCAAGTATTTTAAAAATGGGCCTCTCAAAGGCCTTATACGTCATTTACCCAGCTACGACCAAAACTGTTAGACCCGTGATTTTTTATCGCCGTGTGTGGGGTCTCTCAGGTTTGGAAAATCAGCCGACAATTTTAAAATCACCCCGTGTGAACCAGGCTTGAGTCAGAGCTGATTGCAGAGCTCATGATCCACCCTGAACCGTGACAGTTTAATGTCCCAGACCAGCGCAGTCTCACCCCAAAAAGTCATATAACTCACGTTTTGGGACGTCTTTTGACCATACGTCAATATTCGCCTTTTTAGGGCCCCCTTAAACGTCGGTAGATGAGGTTATGGGATCCTAACTCTACCCCAGACCTAAACCTAACCCGTCACCTAACCGACGTTAAAGGTAAAGGGGGCCCTAAAAAGGCGAATATTGACGTATGGTCAAAAGACGTCCCAAAAAGTCAGTTATATGACTTTTTGGGGTGAGAATGTGTTGCCCAGACTACCTCTGAGGTCCCTGTATTTCATAATATCATAGAAAAAGAAAAAAACATGAAAATATCTTGAGCTTGTGTTTTGAACTTTTATCAAGCATTTTACCAAAAACCCATTGACTTCAGGACGATGCGCCCGCGGAAGTGCTAAAATGTCTACAAAAATACGCCAGCCTTGCATTTGACAGCTGTGTGTAAAACAGTGTTAACCACACTTCACACATTTAAAAGTCCTTCACTGCAGAGCTAAAAGTGCTTGTGTTAAAACAGTTGGTCATTTGGTTGCTGTTGATCTGATGAGCTTCAACACGGTAAGACAAACACACTTATATTTCAATGAAAACGGATGATTACCCTGCTGAAAAATCCAGCTAAAACCAGCCAAGGCTGGTTGGCTGGTTTTGGCTGGTCTCCCAGCCTGGTTAGTTGGTTTATCAGGCTGGTTTTAGAGGGGTTTTGAACACTTTTTCAGCTGGTCAGGCTGGTCAAGTTGGTAGCCAGGCTGGGAGACCAGCTTAACCAGCTAAGCCAGGCTGGGTGACCAACTAAAACCAGCTACTTCCAGCCTAAACCAGCTAAGACCAGCCAACCAGCCTAGGCTGGTTTCAGCTGGATTTTTCAGCAGGGTATTTATATGGATGAAGCTCATATAACACACGATTCCTGACATTTAAAAACTTCCGTACATCTAATGATCAGTTCATTTACACAAATTGATGTGCATTAATTAACTTCAGATGTGCAAAGATCTTAATTACACTAAGAGCTGTTTAGGGTGATGACACTGATTGTGAGCGTATAAGTGTTTAATGCTGTATATGTACAGTATATATATGTAAGCAATAAGGTACGAGAGGCTGTGCTGTATCGTGAATAAGTAACGGCTGAAGGGCGTTGTTAGGCTCGACGCGAAGCGGAGTAACCCCTTCAGCCGTCACTTATTCACGATACAGCACTTGCCTCGAGTACCTTATTGCTTTTATAAAACGGTTGCCACACAATATTAAAGTAAAAAAACAATGTATTAGTGCAACTTTCTTGAAGTAAAATCACTAAAAGCCTTCCTTCCGCTAGAAAAAATAGTCCCTGAACGTGAACAGCAACAACGTTCAAATGTGTAAAACGCATGAAAGCTCAAATAAAAACAACATAGAACTGCAGTGTTGCGTTTATCGTGAATAAAGCACAGCTCTTGACCAATCAGAATCAAGGATTCAAACTAACCATTACATATATATATATGCCCAGACAGCAAACTGACATTGAATCAACGTGGAAACGACGTCTCTCATGACACTGAAACAATGTTGATTTGCTCATCGAATTAACGTTGAACCAACGTCAGACGCGGCATTCTTCAAAGCTAAATGAAATCGAAAATTGGTTTGCTTTCATAACGTTGAAACAACGCGTTGATTTCAAGTTGATTTTCCGTTAGTTTTGAAAGAATGACGCGTCTGACGTTGGTTCAACGTTAATTCGATGAGCAAAACAATGTCAGATCAACGTTGTTTCGATGTCATATTTCCACGTTGATTCAATGTCAGTTTGCTATCTGGGTGTATATATGTAATATATGCTGATGATTATATTAATGCTGTATTAAAGATATATTTTATGCTGATGATTATATTAATGCTGTATTATAGATATATTTTATGCTGATGATTATATTAATGCTGTATTATAGATATATTTTATGCTGATGATTATATTAATGCTGTATTATAGATATATTTTATGCTGATGAGGGTCAGAATGGCTCCTCCTCTTCCTCTGGTCTTTCTGTTCATGATTCACGGTGAGTTAACGTTACGTTATTTTTTTTATTTACGTTTACGTTTCTTTTTTTTTCAAAACCTCATAATAAGGGTTTAATGAGCAGTTTTCTATGGTATGTTGATGCATTTACTTTTGAAACAGGAAGTTTGGGTGAGGCCTGTCAATGGGCTTTTATAAATATCCTGTAGTTTTTTTGTTTTTTGCTTACGTCACGTCACAGGGGGCGTTAGATGTGTAGGATTAGGGATCAGGGGGCGGACATGGCTTAGGGTTAGGTATACGTAAGGTGGGAGGAGTTTGATCTGGATCCAACTCCTCCCCCTGGATTTCGTGTTCTGCAGTGAGGATCATCTCACTTGCTAGTCAGTGCCAGGTGGTTTAGGGGAGGGACTTTCTCACTCATCAGAGCATTTGATTGGGCAAACAGATGTTTTTGTTCATTTCTCCAGAAGATATTGTGGAGATGTGATCGAGCAATCCTGTTCCTGCAGATCTATCTTCCTGAAAAGTTCAGCTTCAACCCTGATCAAACACAACTGAACCAGCTAATGAAGATCTGCAGAAGCACGTGATCATTGCAGACAGGTGTGTGTGATCAGGGTTGGATCTGAATCTGATCTCCAGGAACAGGATTTGGTTTCCTTGAGGAAGAGGTTTGTGTATCAAATGATTTTGTCAGTATAGACGTTTTCTTAGACTTAATTGTGATGTTTTTGATTATTTTAGAGGGCAGCATGTTGTTCATGACTGATGTCTTTGCCAGACATCCCAACCTGCAAGAATTCATTTCCGGGAGGTATATTTCGGTAACAGGATCTTGGATGGGAGGGAGGGCTAACTTTCGCGTTCGCGAGACACACTCGGTCTCTCCCTCTGTTCAGTGCACGCGCAGCGCGCTATGTATGTTATGCGCGCAGTATGTCTCGCTCTAGATTCCGGGAGATTTGAACTAATTTGCGGGCATCAGGGAGACGCTATCAATATGCGGGAGACTCCCGGAACTTCCGGGAGACTTGGGATGTCTGCTTTGCTCTGGTTTCACTTCTGTTTATTTCTGCAACATCCTCCATCAAAACTGATAAAGAAATTCACACTTAGATCCGTCAACACTCAAACGATTCTGAGAAGATTCACTTATAATATTCTCTGTAATGAGTCGCTGTTTACAAGTATAATAAAGTGTTTGTGATCTGTTGGAACTGATAAAACAACATTTTCAGCAGTTTGACTTCTGTGTTTCAGGGGTTTCTAGTGATGATAACGGTTGGGGTGTGAGTTACAGTCCTCCACACATCTGTGCACTAAACGACTCAACAGTGATAATGACATGCAATTATACATACCCCCGTACTGGATATAAGATCATGAAAGTGTTCTGGACCAAAAAGCCTGTAATAAAGGGTGTTGAGCCTCCAGATCTGTCTAAGGATCCTAAATACCGTCAGAGGCTTCAGTATCTGGGAGATAAACAGCAGAACTGCACCGTCAGACTGAGTAATGTGACACTGAAGGATTCACACATGTACTATTTCAGATTCATCTCTAATATAACAGGAAAAAAATATATTGGTGATCCAGGAGTGAATCTTACTGTCACAGGTGACTTTGATGAGGTTTATCTCTTCTTCTGTGCATTATGTTGAATAATAATCAGTGTGTGACAGCAGCACTAGATATAATGTGTGTGTTGTGTTCAGATCTTCAGGTGGAGTCTCCTGAGAGAGTGACAGAGGGAGATTCAGTCAGTCTGACATGTAAAGGCAGCTGCGCTCTGACTGACAGAGCAACATTCATCTGGTACAGAAACTCACTGAAGATATTAACTGAGAGTAAATTCAGGAACACACTCATCCTCAATCCAGTCAGAAGAGAGGATTCAGGCAGATATAGCTGTGCTGTAGACGGACACACACACGTCTCTCCTGATGTTCACCTCAATGTCATGTGTGAGTCAGATCATTTTTATTCAATATACACCTTTTAAAATAGGCTAACAGAGTTAACAAAACTAATAAATGATCAGTGAGTTTAATGGGAGCTCTTGTGTTTTCACTGAAATCTGGAAGAAAAAAACAGATGTATTTCGTCTTAAATACAACAGATTTCTAAACTAAGGCTGAGAGAGAAACTGGAAAGACTGTTGTTTCAAATTGCAGTGTTTTGTCAATGAATAAAAATGCATATAAATTATGCATATAAAATCTAGTTCTGTCCACATGTCTCTGTTTAGCCAATTGCTGATTCACAATATTAACAACATTTTTGCCAATCAGTGTCCTCATATCTAATCCGAAAATATTATTTTATGGCCGCAGCCGCTGCTAAAGTCAGGACTATAAGCTGAATAAAGCAAACCAGTGTCTCGCTAGTCAAACTGCATTAAACTGTTTTATTTATTTTTTATTCGCAGTTCAGTATTAAATCATACTGGGATGTTTGTTGAAATTGTCCATTAACTGCAGCCACTGATAAATACTTTTACCTGACATCTGTAGATCCTCCAGTGAATCCTGTGATCTCCGTCAGTCCATCTGGTGTAATAATGAGTCAGTGATGTCAAATTTACTTTGATTGTTGGTGTTTTTGTATATTTCTGTTTTAGATCCTCCTAGAAACGTCTCAGTGTTGATAAATGGATCTGGTGTAATAGTGGAGGGAGATTCAGTGACTCTGAAGTGCATCAGTGACTCAAACCCTCCTGCTGTGAACTTCAGCTGGTTTAAGGAGAATGAAAGCTCAGCTGTTGGATCTGGACAGAGTTTCAGTGCACTACAGAGTGGACGCTTCTACTGTCAGGCTCACAATCAACATGGATCTCAGAGATCAGATGCTGTAACTGTCACAGGTGAAGCTTTTATTAACACACTCCTGTATCTTCACATCATTCATCAGTTTGGAGAGTTAATCATGATGATCTTCCTCTTTCAGTTCATCATGTTGCTGGTAGGAATGTGATTGTGATCACAGCGACATCTGGAGGAGTATTCATCATCTTCATCATCATCATCATCATCATCATCCTGATTATACTGTGAGTTCAATAATAAACGTCAGTTATTGTTCATGTTCAGTTTTGGTCTGATGTAGAAGAAAATGGCTAATTTTTGTTTTATTAATAATCTTTTAAAAGAATAATTATATTTTGTTAATGTCTGTGATTATAACAGAAAGAAACGAAGGAGTGTTAAAGTTGAAGATCAGGTAAATCATCTAAACATGACTTCACAAAAGCAGAGAATGAATGGATCAGCCGTTCTCTGTTTCAGACTGTAAATGATTCAAACCTTGCATACATTTTTACCGTTAAAATTATGAACGTTTTTTACAGTGTGGTAAGAAGCCAAGAAAAGCATAAACGCCGTACCCTGAAAAAGCCCTTTACTTTGAACATTGTCAGGGAACTATTTTAATAGTGTTTCTATAAAATTGTTTGAGTTCCAAAGTTCATCATTGATCATGTTTTTAATCATTTTTTATTTATTATTGTGATATTTTGTGATGTAAGACTTTCTGTCTCTCCTGTAGATCTCTGATCCCAATGAAGACACATATACAGCTCTTGACCTCAAGCTCACGACCTCTGACCTGTACGACACACTCGCAGTAAGTGAGACGTCCGTCAGATACTCCATCACAGATGATCACATGACCGATCTCTCGCTCTCTTTCACACAGACCGTTGATCGCAGACGTCCTGAAGACTCCTGAAGACTCTTGATCCTCAACATGAGAATCCATCAGTAAGTGTCAGAACCTGCAGCTCTTCTCAATATAACTAATAAACTCTCTTCAGTATAGTGGGATTGTTTTATATATCTTATGAAAGGGTTTATAAGGTTGTTGATGAACTTCAGTCAGTCAGTCTTCATCTTATTGTTTGTTCAGATCAACAGGAAGAAGCTGCAGAGAGAGGCGGAGCACAAATGAACCAATCCTGAGCTCTGTGGGCGGAGCCTAAGATGATTGATTTTATTCTGATATACTGAACAAAATCATAATTATGCGCATTCACAATGGAAAATGTATCAGGTTTTTTTTTGCTCTCAGAGTGCTCAATATTATAATCTTCTGTCATTATATGTTCCTGTAACTCTCCCTTTAAATGTTCAATTGTATCTGTGATCATCTCATATTTGCTTTTACTAACCTTATGAGTGCATCGATACTGTAGTGTTGATATAGCGATACTCACAAGCTACTTTTTTGGTATTGATTGTATTAAAAAATATTAATAATTAAAATTATATTACAAAACACGAGTTTCTGCATTAATTTTACTTGTTTTCAATACTTTTTCATGTTAATGAATGTGATTTACCTTTAAAGTCATCATGCTGTCGTTGTCTCCACTTCATTGACAATCGCTTTTTCTTTTGATAACTTTTTTTTTTTTTTTTAAACCAACTACATTGATTATTTATGTTTGATCTCGGGGGATTTTGTGAGATTTTCATTCTGACTTGGGAATGCTCGGGAGTCAAATCGATTCGTGTGTGATGTGTTGATTTTGCAGTGTGACTGTGCACCACACACTGTACACCAAAACTGTTAGACTCGTGATTTTCTATGGCCGTGTGTGGGGTCTCTCAGGTTTGGAAAATCAGCCGACAATTTTAAAATCGGCCCGTGTGAACCAGGCTTGAGTCAGAGCTGACTGCAGATGTCATGACAAACACAGTCAACAGGGGAAGCTCATGATCCACCCTGAACCGTGACAGTTTAATGTCCCAGACTACCTCTGAGGTCCCTGTATTTCATATCATAGTTAGAAACATGAAAATATCTTGAGCTTGTGTTCACCACAGAACTTTTATCAAGCATTTTACCAAAAACCCATTGATTTGAGGACGATGCGGCCAGTAGTGCTAAAATGTCTACAAAAATACGTCACTCTTGCATTTGACAGCGGTGTGTAAAACAGTGTTAACCACACTTCACACATTTAAAAGTCCTTCACTGCAGAGATAAAAGTGCTTGTGTTAAAACAGTTGGTCATTTGGTTGCTGTTGATCTGATGAGGAACAACACGGTAAGACAAACACACTTATATTTCAGTGAAAACTGCTGATTATTTATATAGATGAAGCTCATATAACACACGATTCCTGACATTTAAAAGAATGCATTTTGCAGACGCTTTTATCCAAATAAGCGACTTACATTGCATTTCCAGGAACACATTTTACATGATCAGTTCTTGACTTGAAATATCTTCCGTACATCTAATGATCAGTTCATTTACACAAATTGATGTTGTGCATTAATTAACTGCAGATGTGCAAAGATCTTATTAACACTAAGAGCTGTTTAGGGTGATGAATATACACTGATTGTGAGCATATAATTGTTTAATGCTGTATTTTATATATATATGTAAGCAATAAGGTACGAGAGGCTGTGCTGTATCGTGAATAAGTAACGGCTGAAGGGCGTTGTTAGGCTCGACACGAAGCGGAGTAACCCCTTCAGCCGTCACTTATTCACGAGACAGCACTTGCCTCGAGTACCTTATTGCTTTTATAAAACGGTTGCCACACAATATTAAAGTAAAAAACAATGTATTAGTGCAACTTTCTTGAAGTAAAATCACTAAAAGCTTTCCTTCCGCTAGAATAAATAGTCCCTGAACGTGAACAGCAACGTTCAAATGTGTAAAACGCATGAAAGCTCAAATAAAAACAACATAGAACAGCAGTGTTGCGTTTATCGTGAATAAAGCACAGCTCTTGACCAATCAGAATCAAGGATTCGAACTAACCGTTATATATATGTATATATATATGTAATATGCTGATGATTATATTAATGCTGTATTATAGATTTATGCTGATGATTATATTAATGCTGTATTATAGATATATTTTATGCTGATGATTATATTAATGCTGTATTATAGATATATTTTATGATGATGAGGGTCAGAATGGCTCCTCCTCTTCTTCTGGTCTTTCTGCTCATGATTCACGGTGAGTTCATGTTTCATTACTTTTTTATATTATTTTTATTTTCAAAACCTAATAATGAGGGTTTAATGATGTTTTCTATGGTATGTTGATGCATTTACTTTTGAAAAAGGAAGTTTGGGTGAGGCCTGTCAATGGGCTTGTCTCTTTTATAAATGTCCTGTAGTTTTTTTGTTTTTTCCTTACGTCACGTCACAGGGGGCGTTAGATGTGTATTAGGGGTGGGGTTAGGGATCAGGGGGCAGACATGGCTTAGGGTTAGGTATACGTAAGGTGGGAGGAGTTTGATCTGGATCCAACTCCTCCCCTTGGATTTCATGTTCTGCAGTGAGGATCATCTCACTTGCTAGTCAGTGTCAGGTGGTTTAGGGGAGGGACTTTCTCACTCATCAGAGCATTTGATTGGACAAACAGATTTTTTTGTTCATTTCTCCAGAAGATATTGTGGAGATGTGATCGAGCAATCCTGTTCCTGCAGATCTATCTTCCTGAAAAGTTCAGCTTCAACCCTGATCAAACACAACTGAACCAGCTAATGAAGATCTGCAGAAGCACGTGATCATTGCAGACAGGTGTGTGTGATCAGGGTTGGATCTGAATCTGATCTCCAGGAACAGGATTTGGTTTCCTTGAGGAAGAGGTTTGTGTGTCAAATGATTTTGTCAGCAGATGCTTTCTTAGACTTAATTGTGATGTTTTTGATTATTTTCGAGGGCAGCATGTTGTTCATGACTGATGTATTTGCTCTGGTTTCACTTCTGTTTATTTCTGCAACATCCTCCATCAAAACTGATAAAGAAATTCACACTTAGATCCGTCAACACTCAAACGATTCTGAGAAGATTCATTTATAATATTCTCTGTAATGAGTCACTGTTTACAAGTATAATAAAGTGTTTGTGATCTGTTGGAACTGATAAAACAACATTTTCAGCAGCAGTTTGACTTCTGTGTTTCAGGGGTTTCTGGTGATGATAATGGTTGGAGTGTGAGTTACAGTCCTCCACACATCTGTGCACTAAAGTACTCAACAGTGATAATGAACTGCACTTATACATACCCTACTGGATATAAGATCGAGAAAGTGTTCTGGACTAAAACACTGGTAATGGATAATGAAGAGCCTCCAGATCTGTCTAATGACCCTGAATACAGTCAGAGGCTTCAGTATCTGGGAGATAAACAGCAGAACTGCACCGTCAGACTGAGTCATGTGACACTGAAGGATTCACACATGTACTATTTCAGATTCAAAACTGATAGACCTAATGGAAAATGGATTGGTAAATCAGGAGTGAATCTTACTGTCACAGGTGACTTTGATGAGGTTTATCTCTTCTTCTGTGCATTATGTTGAATAATAATCAGTGTGTGACAGCAGCACTAGATATAATGTGTGTGTTGTGTTCAGATCTTCAGGTGGAGTCTCCTGAGAGAGTGACAGAGGGAGATTCAGTCAGTCTGACATGTAAAAGCAGCTGCGCTCTGACTGACAGAGCAACATTCATCTGGTACAGAAACTCACAGCCATTAACTGAGAGAAGAGACAGAAACAATGAAACGATTGTAGGATCTGGAAGAATCTTCATCATCTCAAAGATCAGATCTGATGACAGTGGAGAATACAAGTGCAAGTCCATCAATGAACATGGAGAGAAATACTCTGATACTGTGACTTTAAACGTCATGTGTGAGTTAATGATGTTTCAGTTACAGTAACCATTAAATGAATGGATTTACAATCACAAAACATTAATATACCCTTTCTTTTGTCTATTTAAGATCCTCCCAGAAACGTCTCAGTGTTGATAAATGGATCTGGTGTAATAGTGGAGGGAGATTCAGTGACTCTGATCTGCATCAGTGACTCAAATCCTCCTGCTGTGAACTTCAGCTGGTTTAAAGGAGGAACGATTGTAGGATCTGGAAGAATCTTCATCATCTCAAAGATCAGATCTGATGACAGTGGAGAATACAAGTGCAAGTCCATCAATGAACATGGAGAGAAATACTCTGATACTGTGACTTTAAACATCATGTGTGAGTTAATGATGGTTCAGTTACAGTAACCATCAAATGTATGGATTTACAATCACAAAACATTAATATAGAGTTTATTTTGTCTGTTTTAGATCCTCCCAGGAGCGTCTCAGTGTCCATCATTCAGTCTGGTCAGATCTGGGCAGGAGATTCAGTGACTCTGAAGTGCATCAGTGACTCAAATCCTCCTGCTGTGAACTTCAGCTGGTTTAAGGAGAATGAAACCTCAGCTGTTGGATCTGGACAGAGTTTCAGTGCACTACAGAGTGGACGCTTCTACTGTCAGGCTCACAATCAACATGGATCTCAGAGATCAGACGCTGTAACTGTCACAGGTGAAGCTTTTATTAACACACTCCTGTATCTTCACATCATTCATCAGTTTGGAGAGTTAATCATGATGATCTTCCTCTTTCAGTTCATCATGTTGCTGGTAGGAATGTGATTGTGATCACAGCGACATCTGGAGGAGTATTCATCATCATCATCATCATCCTGATTATACTGTGAGTTCAATAATAAATGTCAGTTATTGTTCATGTTCAGTTTTGGTCTGATGTAGAAGAAAATGGCTAATTTTTGTTTTATTAATAATCTTTTAAAAGAATAATTATATTTTGTGAATGTCTGTGATTATAACAGAAAGAAACGAAGGAGTGTTAAAGTTGAAGATCACAGAGTGAAAGAGGTAAATCATCTAAACATGACTTCACAAAAGCAGAGAATGAATGGATCAGCCGTTCTCTGTTTCAGACTGTAAATGATTCAAACCTTCCCAATCCGGCAGTAAACAGTTTGTACTATACTACAAAAAAACATGAACTAAACTTACAGATTTCAGAGGAGATTTTAGTGAATTTAACCAATCTGGTCCGTGTAACGCTTCACAATTCAGTTTTTTCAGAGCAAACAAGGCAAATGAAAACATTTTAAAATGTCTTTTTCCTCCCTTTTTCAATTGTACTTGTGCTATATTGTGACTCCAGAAACAAACATGTTAATAAATGACATCTAAACGATTTTCTTTTTTTCATCTTGTAATTTGCGTCGTGGGCGGGACCATTAGCACGGGGGCGTGGCCGTGAACTAATCTTTAGATCTCTGTCGTCAAACCTAAAATATTGCTACAATCATTTTTATGGTAATTCATTTGCAAACAGCTGCCAGTGTTTTATGTTAAACTTTAGTTCAATGCCGTAAAACATAAATATTTCTACCAAATTTTTTTCAGTGTACTTACATATATACATTTTTACCTTAAAATGTGGAAAGAAGCCAAGAAAAGCATACGCCGTACCCTGAAAAAGCCCTTTACTTTGAACATTGTCAGGGAATTTTTTTGATAGTGTTTCTATAAAATTGTGTGAGTTCCAAAGTTTATTATTGATCATTTTTTTAATTATTGTTATTGTGATATTTTGTGATGTAAGACTTTCTGTCTCTCCTGTAGATCTCTGATCCCAATGAAGACACATATACAGCTCTTGACCTCAAGTCCACGACCTCTGACCTGTACGACACACTCGCAGTAAGTGAGACGTCCGTCAGATACTCCATCACAGATGATCACATGACCGATCTCTCGCTCTCTTTCACACAGACCGTTGATCGCAGACGTCCTGAAGACTCCTGAAGACTCTTGATCCTCAACATGAGAATCCATCAGTAAGTGTCAGAACCTGCAGCTCTTCTCAATATAACTAATAAACTCTCTTCAGTATAGTGGGATTGTTTTATATATCATGTGAAAGGGTTTATAAGGTTGTTGATGAACTTCAGTCAGTCAGTCTTCATCTTATTGTTTGTTCAGATCAACAGGAAGAAGCTGCAGAGAGAGGCGGAGCACAAATGAACCAATCCTGAGCTCTGTGGGCGGAGCCTAAGATGATTGATTTTATTCTGATCTACTGAACAAAATCATAATTATGCGCATTCACAATGGAAAATGTATCAGCTTTTTTTTTGCTCTCAGAGTGCTCAATATTATAAGCTTCTGTCATTATATGTTCCTGTAACTCTCCCTTTAAATGTTCAATTGTATCTGTGATCATCTCATATTTGCTTTTACTAACCTTATGAGCGCATCGATACTGTAGTGTTGATATAGCGATACTCACAAGCTACTTTTTTGGTATTGATTGTATTAAAAAATATAAATAATTATAATTATATTACAAAACACGAGTTTCTGCATTAATTTTATTTGTTTTCAATACTTTTTCATGTTAATGAATGTGATTTACCTTTAAAGTCATCATGCTGGCGTTGTCTCCACTTCATTGACAATCGCTTTTTCTTTTGATAACTTTTTTTTTTTTTTAAACCAACTACATTGATTATTTATGTTTGATCTCGGGGGATTTTGTGAGATTTTCATTCTGACTTGGGAATGCTCGGGAGTCAAATCGATTCGTGTGTGATGTGTTGATTTTGCAGTGTGACTGTGCACCACACACTGTACGACCAAAACTGTTAGACCCGTGATTGTCTATCGCCGTGTGTGGGGTCTCTCAGGTTTGGAAAATCAGCCGACAATTTTAAAATCGGCCCGTGTGAACCAGGCTTGAGTCAGAGCTGATTGCAGATGTCATGACAAACACAGTCAACAGGGGAAGCTCATGATCCACCCTGAACCGTGACAGTTTAATGTCCCAGACTACCTCTGAGGTCCCTGTATTTCATATCATAGAAAGAAAACATGAAAATATCTTGAGCTTGTGTTCACCACAGAACTTTTATCAAGCATTTTACCAAAAACCCATTGACTTCAGGACGATGTGCCCAGTAGTGCTAAAATGTCTACAACAATACGCCACTCTTGCATTTGACAGCTGTGTGTAAAACAGTGTTAACCACACTTCACACATTTAAAAGTCCTTCACTGCAGAGCTAAAAGTGCTTGTGTTAAAACAGTTGGTCATTTGGTTGCTGTTGATCTGATGAGGAACAACACGGTAAGACAAACACACTTATATTTCAGTGAAAACTGCTGATTATTTATATAGATGAAGCTCATATAACACACGATTCCTGACATTTAAAATTGTGCATTTTGCAGACACTTTTATCCAAATAAGCGACTTACATTGCATTTCCAGGAACACATTTTACATTATCAGTTCTTGACTCGAAATATCTTCCGTACATCTAATGATCAGTTCATTTACACAAATTGATGTGCATTAATTAACTGCAGATGTGCAAAGATCTTATTAACACTAAGAGCTGTTTAGGGTGATGAATATACACTGATTGTGAGCATATAAGTGTTTAATGCTGTATATATATATGTAAGCAATAAGGTACGAGAGGCTGTGCTGTGTCGTGAATAAGTAACGGCTGAAGGGCGTTGTTAGGCTCGACGTAAAGCGGAGTAACCCCTTCAGCCATCACTTATTCACGAGACAGCACTTGCCTCGAGTACCTTATTGCTTTTATAAAACGGTTGCCACACAATATTAAAGTAAAAAACAATGTATTAGTGCAACTTTCTTGAAGTAAAATCACTAAAAGCCTTTCCTTCCGCTAGAAAAAATAGTCCCTGAACGTGACCAGCAACAACGTTCAAATGTGTAAAACGCATGAAAGCTCAAATAAAAACAACATGGAACAGCAGTGTTGCGTTTATCGTGAATAAAGCACAGCTCTTGACCAATCAGAATCAAGGATTCGAACTAACGGTTATATGTATATATATATATATATATATATATATATATATATATATATATGTAATATATGCTGATGATTATATTAATGCTGTATTATAGATATATTTTATGCTGATGATTATATTAATGCTGTATTATAGATATATATTATGCTGATGATTATATTAATGCTGTATTATAGATATATTTTATGCTGATGAGGGTCAGAATGGCTCCTCCTCTTCCTCTGGTCTTTCTGTTCATGATTCACGGTGAGTTCATGTTTCATTACTTTTTATATTATTTTTATTTTCAAAACCTAATAATGAGGGTTTAATGATGTTTTCTATGGTATGTTGATGCATTTACTTTTGAAAAAGGAAGTTTGGGTGAGGCCTGTCAATGGGCTTGTCTCTTTTATAAATGTCCTGTAGTTTTTTTGTTTTTTCCTTACGTCACGTCACAGGGGGCGTTAGATGTGTATTAGGGGTGGGGTTAGGGATCAGGGGGCAGACATGGCTTAGGGTTAGGTATACGTAAGGTGGGAGGAGTTTGATCTGGATCCAACTCCTCCCCTTGGATTTCATGTTCTGCAGTGAGGATCATCTCACTTGCTAGTCAGTGCCAGGTGGTTTAGGGGAGGGACTTTCTCACTCATCAGAGCATTTGATTGGGCAAACAGATGTTTTTGTTCATTTCTCCAGAAGATATTGTGGAGATGTGATCGAGCAATCCTGTTCCTGCAGATCTATCTTCCTGAAAAGTTCAGCTTCAACCCTGATCAAACACAACTGAACCAGCTAATGAAGATCTGCAGAAGCACGTGATCATTGCAGACAGGTGTGTGTGATCAGGGTTGGATCTGAATCTGATCTCCAGGAACAGGATTTGGTTTCCTTGAGGAAGAGGTTTGTGTATCAAATGATTTTGTCAGTATAGACGTTTTCTTAGACTTAATTGTGATGTTTTTGATTATTTTAGAGGGCAGCATGTTGTTCATGACTGATGTCTTTGCTCTGGTTTCACTTCTGTTTATTTCTGCAACATCCTCCATCAAAACTGATAAAGAAATTCACACTTCGATCCGTTAACACGCAAACGATTCTGAGAAGATTCATTTATAATATTCTCTGTAATGAGTCGCTGTTTACAAGTATAATAAAGTGTTTGTGATCTGTTGGAACTGATAAAACAACATTTTCAGCAGTTTGACTTCTGTGTTTCAGGGGTTTCTAGTGCTGATTGGGGTGTGAGTTACAGTCCTCCACACATCTGTGCACTAAAGGACTCAACAGTGATAATGACATGCAATTATACATACCCCCGTACTGGATATAAGATCACGAAAACGTTCTGGACCAAAACACTGGTAATAAATGGTGTTGAGCCTCCAGATCTGTCTAATGACACTGAATACAGTCAGAGGCTTCAGTATCTGGGAGATAAACAGCAGAACTGCACCGTCAGACTGAGTCATGTGACACTGAAGGATTCACACATGTACTATTTCAGATTCATCACTGATCAAGATAAAGGAAAATGGATTGGTGATCCAGGAGTGACTCTTAATGTCACAGGTGACTTTGATGAGGTTTATCTCTTCTTCTGTGCATTATGTTGAATAATAATCAGTGTGTGACAGCAGCACTAGATATAATGTGTGTGTTGTGTTCAGATCTTCAGGTGGAGTCTCCTGAGAGAGTGACAGAGGGAGATTCAGTCAGTCTGACATGTAAAAGCAGCTGCGCTCTGACTGACAGAGCAACATTCATCTGGTACAGAAACTCACTGAAGATATTAACTGAGAGTAAATTCAGGAACACACTCATCCTCAATCCAGTCAGAAGAGAGGATTCAGGCAGATATAGCTGTGCTGTAGACGGACACACACACGTCTCTCCTGATGTTCACCTCAATGTCACGTGTGAGATCATTTTTATTCAATATACACCTTTTAAAATAGGCTAACAGAGTTTATAAAACTAATAAATGATCAGTGAGTTTAATGGGAGCTCTTGTGTTTTCACTGAAATCTGGAAGAGAAAAACAGATGTATCTCGTCTCAAATACAACAGATTTCTAAACTAAGGCTGAGAGAGAAACTGGAAAGTTTTTTCAATGAATATAAATGCATATAAATTATACATATATAAATCTATAATTCTGTCCACATGTCTCTGTTTAGCCAATTGCTGATTCACAATATAAACAACATTTTGCCAATCAGTGTCTTCATATCTAATCCGAAAATATTATTTTATGGCCGCAGCCGCTGCTAAAGTCAGGACTATGAGCTGAATAAAGCAAACCAGTGTCTCACTAGTAAAACTGCATTAAACTGTTTTATTTATTTTTTTATTCGCTGTTTAGCATTAAATCATACTGGGATGTTTGTTGAAATTGTCCAATAACTGCAGCCACTGATAAATACTTGTACCTGACATCTGTAGATCCTCCAGTGAATCCTGTGATCTCCATCAGTCCATCTGGTGTAATAATGAGTCAGTGATGTCAAATTTACTTTGATTGTTGGTGTTTTTGTATATTTCTGTTTTAGATCCTCCTAGAAACGTCTCAGTGTTGATAAATGGATCTGGTGTAATAGTGGAGGGAGATTCAGTGACTCTGATCTGCATCAGTGACTCAAATCCTCCTGCTGTGAACTTCAGCTGGTTTAAAGGAGGAACGATTGTAGGATCTGGAAGAATCTTCAACATCTCAAAGATCAGATCTGATGACAGTGGAGAATACAAGTGCAAGTCCATCAATGAACATGGAGGGGAATACTCTGATAATGTGACTTTAAACGTCATGTGTGAGTTGTTGATGGTTCAGTAACTGTAGTAACAAACAAATGAGTGGATTAACATTCGCAAAACATGAATGTAGAATTTATTTTGTCTGTTTTAGACCCTCCAAAGAACGTCTCAGTGTCCATCATTCAGTCTGGTCAGATCTGGGCAGGAGATTCAGTGACTCTGAAGTGCATCAGTGACTCAAACCCTCCTGCTGTGAACTTCAGCTGGTTTAAGGAGAATGAAAGCTCAGCTGTTGGATCTGGACAGAGTTTCAGTGCACTACAGAGTGGACGCTTCTACTGTCAGGCTCACAATCAACATGGATCTCAGAGATCAGACGCTGTAACTGTCACAGGTGAAGCTTTTATTAACACACTCCTGTATCTTCACATCATTCATCAGTTTGGAGAGTTAATCATGATGATCTTCCTCTTTCAGTTCATCATGTTGCTGGTAGGAATGTGATTGTGATCACAGCGACATCTGGAGGAGTATTCATCATTATCATCATCATCATCATCCTGATTATACTGTGAGTTCAATAATAAACTGCAGTGACTGTATAAGTTCACTTTGGTCTGATGTAAAAGAGAATGTCTATTTTTTTTAATTAGTAATCTTTAAAAGCATTATTCATATTTTGTTAATGTCTGTGATTATAACAGAAAGAAACGAAGGAGTGTTAAAGTTGAAGATCTCACAGTGAAAGAGGTAAATCATCCAAACACAACACGAGTTTACAGAAGCAGAAAGTCAATTGTTTTTTGTTTCAGACTGTAACTGTACAGACTGATGGGAAACTCACATTGTC